TATGTTGTTTTTATGTGAGACTGGTTTGTGGGAAGAGAGTAGCATGTCCTGTAATCTGACATCCATAAATGCACACATGCGTAAACACAAACCACACACACACACACACACACACACACACACACACACACACACACACACACACACACACACACACACACACACACACACACACACAAACTTGGTTGCGGTAAACACTTCGACGAACCACGACCGCAAGCATGAAATGAGCAGCTTAAAGAAAAGTCCTCAAAACACCCGTCCTTCATTAGTTCCATGTTCTTCCTCCTCTTCTCTCAATCTTCGTGTTGAATATCATTTATTTGTGTGGTGACTGCGCAGATTTTTTTACAGACATTTTAACGAAGAAAAATTCCGGAAAATATTATTGGCGACGCAAAACTGAGAGTTCATTAGCAGCTAATAAAACAGTGCGGTCATGGAAGAAAGACAGCAGCGAATCTCTGAGTGTGTGTCTGATGCCGTGATCGAGTCTCTCCAGCGCTGCCAGAGCTCAGTCTCAGCTCGTATAACTGCACAATAAAAACCACAATCACCTCGACGGAGACCGGGATAATTACACTGGACAAACATACACACTCGTATGCACACATACACACCACTTGAATATGACCAGGGTGAAGCAATCAAACAGCACACACTCTCTGCTGAATAAACAAACATCTTTTCAGAATGTGGATACTTTATTCAAGCCTATTAATATAGGCCTAATTTATTCAAAAGCAACCACATCTGATTGTTAAAAGAAGTCTCTTGATCACAAAAGCTGCATAAATGTCGTAAAACTAATTAAAAACATCTTTTTTTCTGTTTTACGATGTTTTTAAAAGGGAATTTATGCATGTGATGCAAAACTGATTATATATATATATATATATATATATATATATATATATATATATATATATATATATATATATACACACACACACACACACACACACACACACACACACACACACACACACACACACACATACATACACACACACACACAGAGAGAGAGAGCCTCTATGCTAAAATAATCAGTTTTGCATCACGTGCATAAATTCCCTTTTAAAAATGTTGCTAAACAAAAAAAATATGCTTTTAATTAGTTTATATATGTGTGTGTGCATATGCACTCGCTGGCCACTTTAATAGGTACACCTGTCCAACTACTTGTTAACACAAATGTCTAATCAGCCAATCACATGGCCGCAACTCAATGCATTTAGGCATGTAGACTTGGTCAAGACAATCTGCTGCAGTTCAAACCGAGCATCAGAATGGAGAAGATGATTTGAGAGACATTGAAAGTTGTATGGTTGTTGCCAGACGGGCTGGTCTGAGTATTTCTGAAACTGCTGATCCACCGGGATTTTCACGCACAACCATCTCTAGGGTTTACAGAGGAATTGGTCTGTAAAAGTGAATATATCCAGTGAGCGGCAGTTCTGTGGGTGTAAATGCTTTGTTGATGTCAGAGGAGAATGGCCAGACTGGTTTGAGCTGATAGAAAGGCAACAGTATCTCAAATAAGCACTTGTTACAACCAAGGTATGCAGAAGAGCATCTCTGAACACACAACACGCCCAACCTTGAAGCAGATGGGCTACAGGAGCAGAAGACAACAAGGGGTGCCACTCCTGTCAGCTAAGAACAGGAAGCTGAGGCTACAATTTTACACAGGCTTACTAAAATTGGACAATCAAAGATTAGAAAAACGTTGCCCGGTCTGAGTCTTAATTTCTGCTGCAACGTTTAGATGGTTGGGTCAGAATTTGTGGGGAATGTTTTCTTAGCACACTTTGGGCCCATTCTTACAAATTGAGCATTGTGTCAATGCCACAGCCTACCTGAGTATTGTTGCTGACCATGTCCATCCCTTTATGACCACAGTGTTCCCATCTTCTGATGCTACTTCCAGCAGGATAATGCACCATGTCATAAAGCGTGAATCATCTCAGACTGGTTTCTTGAACATGACGATGAGTTTACTGTACACAAATGGCCTCCACAGTCACCAAACTTATTCCAGTGGAGCACCTCTGGAATGTGGTGGAATGGGAGATTCACATCATGGATATGCAGCCGACAAATCGGCAGCAACTGCGTGATGCTATCAAGTCAATATGGACCAAAATGTCTGAGGAATATTTCCAGTAGCTTGTTGAATCTGTGCCACGAGGGATTAAGGCAGTTCTGAAGGCAAAAGTGGGTTCAACTCGGTACCAGTAAGGTGTACCTAATAAAGTGGCTGGTGAGTGTATGTATGTGATGAATAGAAAGTTCAAAACAACAGTGATTATTTGAGATCTTTACTGCTACCTTTGATCAATCTAACATGTCTTTGTTGGATTAAGTGACATGAGACATTTCAATGTGCTATTTGAATTAATAAACACGTAATAAACTTTAATGCCAAGGTGATCATGCAAAATTCTGACATAAAAAACAAGGATTTCCTGTGACAAAAAGTATTAAATCTAGATAGTTGAAGTAGCTTTCATGTTTTATGCATTTATTTAAACTTTTCCCTTGTTTCTTTGGAATTTTTAAGCAATTTCTGAATGAAAGCGGATTTAAAATGCACATTTTTGGGGGTAGATTTGCATGTAGTTTCACATATTTTATTTATGTAACCAGCAGTATTAATTCATTTTCCTTCAGCTTAGTCCTTTTACTCATCTGGGGTCACCACAGTGGAATGAACCGCCAACTTATCCAGCATATGTTTTACACAGAGGATGCCTTTCCAGCTGCAACCCAGTACTGGGAAACATCCATATACACTCATTCACACACACTACGGCCAATTAAGTTTATTCAATTCACCCACAGTGCATGTATTTGGACTGTGGGGGAAACCGGAGAACCCAAAGGAAACCCATGCCAACACGAGAGAACAGAAATGCCAACTGGCCCAGCCGGGACTCAAACCAGCAACCTTCTTGCTTTGAGGCGACAGTGCTAACCACTGAGCCACCGTGTCACCCATAACCAGCAGTATACAGAAAATAATATCAAGTATTCCAAATACAGTCATATTGAACTTGCAAACACTATATTATTATTTTAAGTAGTGTATTGAACATTATAAAAATCTTTCTTTTGCCACTTTAAATAACCTGTAGAATGGAAAGGTTCCTTTATTGTAAAAAAAAAAAATCCACAGAGAACCACAGAAACCAATAATGTGTTCAAATAACCCAAAATACCATCAAATAAAATTAAACATCACAAATGGAGGTTTTCAAACTGACACCATAGTCAAAACCAGACTGGGTTTGTGATAGCCAATGGGAAAATAAGAGCTTCAAGAAAAAAATGTCATTCAGACTCAAACCTTTATGATTAGCCTCCTTCAGGGTCACAAAAATTATAATGCAAGAAATACAAAGTAAAAGTAAACAATATGTAAAAGTATGACATTTCAGGGGAAGCGCAGCACAGATGCTCCTTTCTCCCTCTCCTCACCCAGGCAGACAGACACCCGCACACACTCAGAGGTTGGGGTGAAACTCTTAAAGGGCAACAGATACACATACATACATACATACATACATACATAATGTGGTATATACACCTAGTAGTTGCGGTGAAAGGTTCCTTAAAGAACCTCTGCATTTGAGAGTTCTTGAAAGATTTTTTTTTTCTTGGTGTGAATGACATTTCAGTCATCTAAAGAACGTTTACTTTTAAGAGTGAAGGCTTTCATTTTCTTTAAATGCAAGAATCTGTAATCCAATTGTAACTCTGATACCTCAAAACACAATGCAATTCACTCACTGAGTGTGCCTCACACAGGTGAGTGGGCTTGACAAACCACCTGTAGAAAACACTCACTGTCATCTCTCTGCACCAGACACTCTCTCAATCACTACACATTTGTACACTCTCAGAAATAAAGGTACGCGAGCTGTCACTGGGGGTGCTACCTTTTCAAAAGGTACACATTTGTACTTGAGGGGTCCATATTGGCACCTTAAATGCATATATTAGTACCTACACATTTTAAGATGAACACTTTTGTACTTTTTAGGAACTAATATGTACCCTTGGGTATTAATATGGACTTTTTAGGTACAAGTTTGTATCTTTTGAAAAGGTACCACCCCAGTGACAGCTCGCGGACCTTTATTTCTGAGAGTGTAGAAAAACATTTTTGTGTGCATTTTTGAGTGTGCTTCAGTTCACAGGTGAGTGGGCTTGACAAACCACCTGTAGAAACACTCTTCTCTCTATGCACTGTATGCGTTTCCTAAACTCCATCTTAACAAGTACTCACAATGTTTACTTGTGAATTTACCAAATTTCATGTTGCACTAGTTACAATTCCAACCTTAAATACCTCTTTTGCACAAAATATTGCACACTAATGTTTATTTTTCACACAAAGTAATTGTGCAGTATGTCTTAGGTCAGGGGTTCTCAACTGGTTTGGCCATGGGACCCAGATTTATACATGGTCATCAAGCCGCGACCCAAATTTTTAGGAACTATAATACAATTTTAGGAATTATAATTAAGTTGTATTTATTTGTTAACATACACAAGTAGTGACAGATAAATCATATGAAAATCACCAAGACTTACAAATAAACTCTATTTTACTGCTGTCATTTAACAAAATGTATCAAATTAAAGAAATATTACAAGGTAAAAATTACAAATACTGTAAACAGAGGTTAGGGTAAGGAAAGGTTCAGTTACCATGAACTAAACTGTTAATAAAACTTGTTGTCTGGTTTCTAAATGAAGTTTTAATTCAGGAGGTTTCATGCTCTCTTGTGAGAGCACCTCGCTACTTATGACACACTGAGGTTTTAAGTCTTTTTTGTCGTCAATATATGTAAATCCATACTTAACATATTCGGGGTCGCACTTGCGCTTCGACATATTTGTTGCTATAATTAAATGAAATTTCACATGTCAAACGGTAGGGTTGTCCTGCACGCAAGTCAAAACAAGTTAAAAATTAAACTTGTGTTGTTGTTTTTTTACCACATACTCCGCGACCCACCAGTTGAGAAACACTGTCTTAGGTTATGTGTATAATTAACTATTTATACAGTTTATAGTTGGTTTACAGCTCCAGTATTTTAGTTATGTACAGGTTTAAAAATTGCTCTTACTTCCAGAGTTGTGTTTATAATTATATTATATAATTTTTTTTTTAGGGTTTTTTAACCTTTAATGGATAGAATAGTGCAGAAAATTGACAGGAAATAGTTGGGAGCAGAGAGAGGGGAAGGGTCGGCAAAGGACCTCGAGCTGGGAATCGAACTCGGATCGCCGTGAGCACCATGATGCTATATGTCTTAACCACTAGGCTAATGGCACAGAGTGTTTATAATTATGATTATGTTTAATTATGCAGCTTCAAATTCCTGTGAGACACATTTTCACATGTAGGAATGACAATAAAGCTCAATTGACTTGGCCAATATGCTGATATACTAATAATCAAAAGCTGTTTTTAGGAGGAAGCCAGAGAAGACAGGAGAGTGTGTGTTGCGAGCGGCTGATGGTGTGTGTTGGGATGGCGAGGTCCCGCTGGGGCTGGACGGGCTCATGGATCCGTGGCACAGCTCAGGTGAAGGCACAGATGGAGACGTGAGGGTGGAATTGTCTGAAACATTGTCCACCCCAATGCTCTCCTGATATAGACAGTTTCTTCTGAATTTTGCACGGGCATTCTGGAACCAAACCTGAAGAAACATCCTTTATTAGGACTTTCCGCTATTAGGTACGTTGGTAACACTTTACAATGATTCATTTACTAACATGAACAAACAATGAACTGTATTTATTGCAGTATTTATTCATCTTTGTTATCATAAGGTAATGAAAATACAGTCGTTTATTAATAACTCACAGTGGATTAACTAGCACAAGGTTGTATCTTAATGATGCATTAGTTGAACTAACATTAAGTGACATTAGCAATACCTACAGTTAATAAGTATGCTCTATAAGTATTGTTTATTCTTAGTTTATGTTAGTAAAGTTTGAAGATTCTATTTTAATTATTCATTATACTGATTAACATGTACTAAACCCCATGCTTGTTTCTGAAGCTTTCATCCTTGACTTTTTATTTCACAATGTTCAGTTTATATCTCACAATTCATATATTCATTCATTCATTCATTTTCTTGTCGGCTTAGTCCGTTTATTAACCTGGGGTCGCCACAGCGGAATGAACCGCCAACTTATCCAGCAAGTTTTTACGCAGCGGATGCCCTTCCAGCCGCAACCCATTTCTGGGAAACATCCACACATACACTACGGACAATTTAGCCTACCCAATTTACCTGTACCGCATGCCTTTGGACTGTGGGGGAAACCGGAGTGCCAGGAGGAAACCCATGCGAATGCAGGGAGAACATGCAAACTCCACACAGAAACGCCAACTGAGCTAAGGATCGAACAAGCGACCCAGCGACCTTCTTGCTGCGAGGCGAACGTGCTAGCCACTGCGTCGCCCTATCTCACAATTGCATATTCTAAATGCATATCTTGTAATTTCATTTATTCATTCATTCATTTTTTTCTGCTTAGTCCCTTTATTAATCAGGGGTTGCCACATCAGAATGAACTGCCAACTTATCCAGCATATGTTTTACACGGCGGATGCCCTTCCAGCTGCAACCCATCTCTGGGAAACTATCGTGCAATTTACATCTTGCAATTCTGATTTTCTTTGAATTCTGACAAAAAAGCAGAATTACAAGATGCAAACTTAGAGAGCTGAGGGAGTCAGTATTGTATAAACACTAAATATATGTGGAAAAAAATCTGAATTGTAGGACGTAAATTGAATTTTTGCGAATGTAAGTTAAGTTAATATCTCACAATTGCAAGATCTAAACTCAACATGCAATAATTTTTCTCCTTGTTTTGAGTTTACATCTCACAACTCTAACATTTTGTTCAAATTCTTACCAAAAAGAGCAGAATTCTAAGATGTAAACACTGAATGCAAAAAAAGCCAGGATTAGGGGACATAAGCTGAATTTATTTTGTGAAAAAGCCACAGAAAAACAAAAAAACGCTGGAAAATGAGTCAAGAGTTAAGCTCAAACTTCTGGGAAAAAAAAGAATTTTAGACTTAAATCAAGAATTCTGTGAATAAAGTCAGAATTGCAAAATGTAAAGTTCTCTGAACAAATCCGAAAAAATTGTGGAATGTAAAATTTGTATTTCTAAGACAAATTGTGGAATTTGAGATGTAAACCCAGAATTCAGAAAGCAGATGTATATCATCAGATAAAAACTCTTCTGTTCAGAGCGCGAGAAGCTCTTTCAAACAGTGCAGAATGGCAGGTTTCCAAACTTCCTCAGATCACTTGGTTTTCACTTGAAACTTGTAAAACGGCATATAATGTTTAGTTTAAAAAAAGAATATATATATATATATATATATATATATATATATATATATATATATATATATATATACATATATGGATGTATAATTTTTTATTGTTTTAAGTAATTTTTAAGAATAAAGTTTCACATTAAAGGAGACATATAATGCCCCCCCCCCCTTTTTTTTTTTTTTTTTTTTTTTACAAATTGTAAAAAAAGTTTGATGTCCTAGAGCAGAGATGGGCAAACTACAGCCCGCGGGCCATATGCGCCTCGCTGAACACTTTAATCCGGTTAATTTAAAATGCTGCTTCTGAGTAACGGTTTGGTTTCAGAATTAGTAAATTAATGATGCAATACAAGTGAAAGCCATTTGATGGCAGTATTGCACGCGGTACTGTTAGCGCAACCAGTGGAATTAGAACACACTCTCGGATATTCAAATACACTAAATGACTGAAAATGAGTCGGGCAAAAAAAAGTTTACTCTGAATGTCGCCCATTTAAGGAAGAATAGACAACAAAATACGTATACATCAGTATCGGACAGAAAGCGGTAGGTCTAATATGCAAAGAAATTATTGCTGTTTTTAAAGATTACAACCTAAGGGGCCGATCACACTAAACGCGCATTTATGTTCCAAACACGCGAGGTGCAATGCACTGCCTTTTTGTTGACAAGAAAAAAAGGAGCGCGGTGCACTTTTTTAATGTCGTCAGTCAACAACTGAATCAGCTGGATATTTTGCGAGAGTGTTGCTCTAGATATTAATATAACTTTATTTTCAGGCTCATTGTTCACATTAACACACTCATAATAACATGACTTGGAATAACAAAAACTAAGCTTCTTCTTTCGTTTTATCTCATAGTTTTGTAATTGATGTAAGCATACTGTATTAATACAAACTCAAATGAGATTGTTGTGAATTTGACTCCAATTATAAAATAATGGCTGGTTAAATGTGTTAATTTTTGTCATAGAATATATTTTCCATGCACACATCCACTTTTAAAAGTTATTTTATCAAAGATTTATTTATTAATTTATTTAATTAATAAATTAATATTAATAAATTTATTTTATTAACTTATTTTATTGTTTTATCATGATTGATAAGTAAATATAAATAGCAGTGGAAATTCATTTGACTTGTAAATTTGACTCAATAATAACTACTAGAAAAAATCTGTATTGTGTTAATGTGACATGTTTCTGTCCAATATTACATGCTCCTTGCATACTGCCACTGTAAATAGAAGTTATTTTTTGAAGGATTTGACATGTGGCCCTTCACTTGGTTTGCAAAACGTGATGTGGCCCTCGGGTCTCAAATATTTGCCCACCTCTGTCCTAGAGAGTGTGTATGTTTCAGCTCAAAATAGCACACACATATTTTTTTTTAACTCTTTAAAACTGCCCCCTTTAGGCTTTGATCCTAATTGTTACATTTTAGTGACTCTCGCTGTAAATTCAAATGAGATCACGCCCCCAGCCCTCTTTTTCAAAGAGGGTGGAGCCATGAATGCCTATGTGTCTGCATAGGCAGATTCAAAACTCTAATGCTGTGTTCACACCAGACGCAGAACACGTAGATTAATCGCGCTATTCGTGCGTAAATAGCCGCGTGAACATTTGAGTTTATTCGCTTCATTCGCGCATCAACCCTCGCTTCATTCGCGCGTCAAATCCGCTTCAATCGCGTGTCAAATTCACTTCAGAACAGACGCGGATTCGCGTGATGGGCAGGGCTTCTGTCTGCCCGAAGACTCTAGCTTCATAGCTAAATGGCTAACATGGATTTTATGAAGAAAATAACAGTGTTTTTGTGCTTTATGAAGACTGAAAAACAGCGTCGATACGTTTAGGGTCGTGTCTGAGTCCACTACATTCTTTTAGAGGTGCATCCAGCTCTGTGAGCTCATAAACTCCTCCAGAAACTTAACCTGGATGACGAAGGCTTTCAGTGGTGCTTCTGACTGAGCCAAAGTTCAGATGAAGTTCATATTTTTGAATTCGAGACATTCGCGCGAAACGCTCGTTAAGCGCGTCAAACGCTCAATTCGCCCCACGCCATTTGCGTCATTCGCGCCACGCCATTCTCGCATATCGTGCTGCAGGATGTCTATTCGCATGTTTGCATTGACTTAACATGTAAATCACTCTTGCTTGACGCGCGTTCTGCGTCTGGTGTGAACGCAGCATAATAGTGGATAAGTGCTTCTCACTCAGGGCTGCCTATGCTAATGAGAGAGAGAGATTGTCACTAATGGGCGGGGCTTCTCATGTACAAAGGGAGAATGTCAATCAAAGTGTTTCAGTAGACTGTTTTTATCAAGTGTGATTATAAAAAAATTAACTTATTAAATTTTTACCATTAGAGGCTGGATGTATACACACTGTTGCCACACAACTGTGTTTAAATCTGTGGTGTTCAGATTTTCGTTACTCAGCCAGTGTTCATGGGTCTGATGGACCCGCTAGAGTTTTGGCTTTCCAAATGAACACTATCAAACAATTTTATGTTAAATTACTCAACAAATGTTTACTTAATCCCAATTACAAGCCATATGCACAGCAAACATGGTTAATTTTTCCCCTTTACCTTTGTTAGATCATATTGATGAATTAAGGTGCTTCGCTTTTTTTTTTTTATTATTAATGTTTTGAAAAAAATAAAACCCACAGATTTGTTTTTTCGTATTGTTTCCCTACGGTCATGGACATCATCATCAGAAGCCCCTCTCTCTTTCACAATCAATTGCAAGGCTCTCGCAGCAGATAATCTTTTGGCCATCTTGATCAGTTGTGATAAGGAACTAGAACTACACTGGCATAGTCTTATTTATAGTACTATGCCCCTAATTTGCAGATGGGACAGGTTATGAGAAAATAAAGCTTGGTTCCCGCAAGAGATTGGGTAAAATGTACGGGAATGTAAGAGCAGACAGTGTTGATAGTTGAATTTTCAACAATGTTGCAACTTTGAGCGAGAGCGGGAGGGGAAGAAAACTGCAGGACCGGAAAGGACGAAGACAGAGTGTAGGAACACTCTTTCAAGACTTTAAGGGTGCTTTCACACCTACACTTTTGTTTTGGAACGTATCTCGTTTGCCCAGTTAGCGTGGTTCGTTTGGCATATGTGAACAGGGCAATCGCGCTCTGTTCCGCGACAAAGTAATCGCTCCAAGATCGCTTGAATGAGGTGGTCTCGGCTCGATTGAAACGAACCCTGGAGCGGTTGATTGCAGTGAGAAATCAATCTGATCCGAGGTTATATCACAGTGTTTTATGGATATGTAATAGGCATACGGCTATATGAAGAGAGAATTATGAGTAGGGCGGGAAGTTTTGCGAGTCTCCGGATGCCCGCAAACAAGTTATGATCTCCTGGTAATCTCGCGTCTCACTCCCGGTCCTCAAATAGGCATCGCCGCGCACCCTTCTCACCCCTCCCCACCGCGTCTCTCCTCAGACACGTCGCGCGCGCGCACCCTGTCAATCACCACCAAACCACCACCTCTCCTGACAGCTGAGCGGAACGCTGCAAAAAAAAAACCTGACACTCTGACCAATGTGAGGAGAGTTTACTCACACGTGACTTGTTTTAGCTCTTTTGGTCCGATTAGAAACTTTGCAGTGTGAAAGCGAACCGCTCCAAGAGCAAAGAGCAACAATGTAACAATTGTAATCTCTGTTTCGGAACAACTGAATCGATTCACAGGTGTGAAAGCACCCTTATTAGACCTGGGTTTAGTGGACCCGAACACCTTGTATGTAATGTAAATGTGTGGGGGGAGGTACATTTTGCGGTCATTGAAAATTTGCTCAGATTAATGTTCTTCACAGAAAATTAGCCAAAGCCAATGAATTTCAGGTTGAAAAAATTAGTCATTGTTTAATTTTTCTTTTGAAAAAAACTGAAAACGGGTCTCACAGACCCGAACACCATACAAGGGTTAAACCCCTTATAATAGCAATTTTTGCATAATAGGTCCCCTTTAAGCTGTTCTGCGCATACATATGTTTAAATCTGTTTGTCAATGCTACATTTTTAGTGTGCTTTCAGTCTTTTGGTTCCCTCTTTTATATGCAACTAAAACAAAAAAATCAATTGTTCTGAGCATCCAGAGATGTTTATTTTTTCTGACCTGGAGCACACGTTTGGTGAGGCCAGTTTTCTGGGCGAGCTCTTTGAGGTCTTTGGCATCTGGATTGTGGTTGTGTGTGAAGAAGGACTGCATGCTTCTCAGCTGGTGATGCTTGAACGACGTTCTCATGCGTTTGGACTTTTGACAGCTCACTCTTTCCGACAGATCCACACCCAAATCACTCACATCTACAACACATGGACACAGTCAGCCGTCACTGATACTGTGTGACTCACAACAACACTGAAGGCAACAATAACTACAGTTAAAGTCAGAATTATTTGCCCTCCTGAATTTTTTTTCTCCAATTTCAGCTAAACCGAAAGAAGATTTTTTTTCAACACGCTTCTAAACATAATAGTTTTAATAACTCATTTCTAATAACTGATTTCTTTTATCTTTGCCATGATGACCGTACATAATATTTAACTAGATATTTTTAAAATACTAGTCTTCAGCTTTTAACGGCTTGACTAGGTTATTTAGACAAGTTAGGGTAATTAGGCAAGTTATTGTACAATGATGGTTTGTTCTGTAGACTATCGAAAAAATATAGCTTCTCAGTAGTATTCTAGTAGTATTGACCTTAAAATGGTTCAAATAAAAACATTTAAAAAAGCATGTCAAATATTTAAATTGTTTTATATTATAAGATATTTAGAATTTTATATATGTCTGTGATGGGGGTGGCGCAGTGGGTAGTGCAGTCACCTCACAGCAAGAAGGTCGCTCGAGTCATGGCTTGGTCAGTTGGCATTTTTAGCATCATTACTCATCATCACATGATCCTTCAGAAATCAGTTTTAATATGGTGATTGGCTGCAAAATTATTAATTTTGGCTATTATTGCTGTTATTTGTAAGATGGTGTTATGAATACTACGTATTCATGAAATTTAGTACTTTATACATCTCTGAATAATCCTTGACTATTTTATCACGTTTGGCATGATGTCCCTGGAGAGAACCCTGAGCTCGGAGATAGATGAGCCCAAGGCTCCCGGCTGGTCAATAAGCACTAGGAGGGATATGAGATCAGGTAGTTCTCGATAACTTCCCAAGAATAGACCGCTGACTGCGCTAGTTTGTAGTAAGCGCTTGTGACTAACTTTTGTTGCATGGTTTTTTGAGTGTGGGAGGAAACCGCAGCAATCGGGGAAAACCCACGCGAACACGGGGAGAACATGCCAACTCTGCATACAGAGTGTCGGTTGGCTCAGCTAGTGTTTAAACCAACGACCTCCTTGCTGAGGGGCAATAGTGCTAGCCACTGAGCCATCGTGTAACGCGAACTTAGAATTGAGCAGGAGGGAGAATGGATGGATGGGGGGTGGGGTTTCAAAACGAAGATGAGGAATGAAGTTTATGCCGGATATTTATATTGAATTTAGAGTGATCTGATTGGCTAGTTAGTGATTAGTGAGAGGGATCAGCTTTAGTCAATCCTATCATATGCTCCACTCGAAATTAGTTTAAGACACTTCACTTATTCTATTTAATATAATTATTATTTATTACATTTATTATACAAGAAATGTTCTTGATCATCCTTATGTGTTTATAATTTGTAATTTTTCTATGATGAATCCTTATTTTATTGCATGTTTGATTTCTCTGTTGTTGTAGCGCTTTGGGTTTTAGAAAAGCACATCATAAATAAAATGTAGTATTATTATTATTATTATTATACACACCATGTATTTAAATTTCTAAAACATTTAATTGTTTAAGCGTGTGCTTCATCTGAAAAGTTATAAACATGTATAATTTTAAGAGTTATGCAAAATATCTAAAAATAAAAATACATGTATACTAATTTCTCAATTTTTTTTCTTAAGCATGTGAAATTGTCTTGATAAATGTTTTTGTGTTCTGTAAAATATATATTAGTCTGATTTATACAGAACTATTGAATGTATGTACAATATTTAAGGCAAGTATATTACAAGTTACTGTAATTAAATGACCTATAAATGAAAAGTAATCCCTTACATTACTTTTTTAGCAGTAGAATAGTCATTTTAATTTTGTAACTGATTAATGTTGACCAAATAATCATAATAATTGTATTCAATAACTTACCTGAACTATATGCAATATGATCAGCTGTACTGTTATTTTTCCTCCTCCGGACTCGTGCTCTGTGCACGGGGCTTTCTTCATCATATGTGTGACTCTCAGAATTTGTCTCTCTAGAAGACATGTCTGAATAATACAAATCTGCATGACATTCTCTCTGGATGTGTGCTCGACAGTACACAGACGTCTCCTTCATCCCGTAGTGATCTCCGGTGAGCAGCACTTTATGGCAGGTGGCACAAGAGAAGCAGCTCAGGTGGTAGACCAGATCCCTGGCGCGCATCACTATCTCTGTGGCAGAGATTCCCAGGTGGCACCGCGCACATCTCTGCGAAGAAAACCTCCTACTTAAGAGAAGACACCAATGTCAGCTTTATTTAGGAGACAGACCGTCATCTAAGATGTAAGAAACGTTTTTTTCTTCTTCAGTAACTCAAAAATGGCTTGATTCTAATTCACAATTGACCTTGTTTACTGTCTTGAACGATTGTGGTCATATTCAGCACAAGTCATCAGAAAAACATTTGCTTGTAATCTTTCATAAATTATACTCACTTAATCTGCCTCTGAAATTACTTCTCATTACACTGCAAAAGATTTCAGTAAATCAGCAGCTTTTCGTATTTTGTGATTCGTGTTTTTATTTTCCCCCTTTTGTTTCTGCTTTAGAATTGCATTATGGGACCTTAATCTTTCTTTCAACAACTTTTAACCTTAAAATGTTCTGAAAAAAGTGACTTTTATTAACATTTTTGTTAGTTTAAGGTAGGGGTGGCCAACCCTGTTCCTGGAGAGCCACCTTCCTGCAGATTTCAGTTGCTACCCATATCAAACACACCTGAACCAATTAATTAGGACCTGAACACCACGTGATAATTACAGGCAGGTGTGTTTGATATGGGTTGCAACTGAAATCTGCAGGAAGGTGGCTCTCCAGGAACAGGGTTGGTCGCCCCTGGTTAAAGGTGATATATTGTCTGGGTTGGTGTTATATATTACAGTACAAAAAGCTTGTAAGTTTTCTGTTAATTTACAGACCTATTTCTCTATATACTATTTCTTATACAATATATTATCTCAAACTACTAGTCACTTTGTTAAACTACAGTTGTTTTCAACATCAAAAGTTGACAGAGCAACATTCACAACTGTAAATAAGCAGAAAACACTTGTGAATCACAACATATGGAAACTTTTAATTAACAGATAGTGTTTTTACTGTGTAATTGAGTATTTTAAGCAGCAAACATTATTTTTTTGAGTGTACATTGTAAAGAATGCAGGATTCTATACAATTCCCTCATGTTGTCCCAGGTGGATTGAACATAAAATAATTACGTTGACCCCCAAAAATCTCAAGAATTGTGTTGTTTTAACTAAATTAGTTTTAGCAAGCAAGTAAAATGTTTTTTTTAGTTTAAATTAGCCCCCACCGTTTATTTTTTCCCCTAATTTCTGTTTAATGGAGAAAAGATTTGTTCAACACATTTCTAAACAATAGTTTTAATAAATCTAATAACTGATTTATTTTATCTTTGCCATGATTACAGTGAATAATATTTTTCAAGACACTTCGATACAGCTTGACATTTAAAGGCTTAACTAGGTTAATTAGGTTTAACTAGGCAGGGTAGGGTAATTAGGCAATTTATTGTATAATGACGGTTTGTTCTGTAGACTATCGAAAAAAAAATTGCTTAAATAATTTTGACCTTAGAATGGATTTAAAAAAATTAAAAACTGCTTTTATTCTAGCCAAAATAAAACAAATATTATCAGACATACTGTGAAAATTACATTGCTCCGTTAAACATCATTTGGGAAATATTTCTAAAAGAATAAAAAATTCAAAGGGGGGCTAATAACTCTGACTTCAACTGTACATTACTAACAATAACTAATTATACAGTATGATGATTTTAGCTGAAACCATGGTCCTTGTTAAATTATAAAATGTGATTTAATAGTTGTTGGCAGCAATTTGAGGTAAAAAGTAAGTAATGATTGATTGTTTTACTTCATTCAATTTGTGATCAGGAGCCACAGGTATTAATTTTGTTTTGTCTTTATGATTTTTTTTACTTTCAAAGTGCACCTTGCATTTTAGGAGTCATGCACTTTAATGTTTTACTGAAGTAAAAAGTTGCATACAAATGGTATGAGCCAAGCATGAGTACATTTAACAGCATATTTTCTGTTCCACTAGCCATTAAAGATGATGTATTTTACCAGTATGTGTGAAAATGTAATTGTTTTGTGAAATGTTTCATTCAGAGTGATCTTTTCATTTAAATCTCTCTTAAATATTAAAAAAAAAATTATTTTATATTTTGTACCTAAAATGACAAAGTTTACAGACAAAAAGTTTTTAAATGAATCAAAATGGACAACTCTTATTTATTATAATTTATATAAGTCATAAATATGTGTAAAATTTCAAATTTGTGATTTCAAATAAATTAAATATGTGATTTCATAAATTATTTATCACAGGTCCACAGCCTGGTAAAAGGGATAGTTGTTTTTTCTCAATAAGTGGACCTTTTTCAGGTTATTCCCCTCATTTTCTGTTTAATTATGAGGTTTAAATACTGCATTTTAGTGACATTTTAAGCACTTTTTTTTGTTTAAATAGCTTGTCAGATGGTCTTCAGAACCAAACTTTTTGATGCACTAAAACAGTTTTTTTTTTAAATGTTGAAAAAACATACTATTTAAAATACTAATTTATTACATGATTTATCATTAAGAAAAAAATAGGATTTGTAATTTTTATATATTACCAACTGTAGTTTATTTTCATTTATTAGGTAAACAAACTAATCAAGATCTGGCCAGCATGTTCAACTTTCCTCTGTTAGAACTTAAAAAATAAATAAACAAATAAATAAACAGACAATAATAATAATAATGTAGAACTTCACAATTTTTTCTAGATTTTTCTCTTGTAAAAAAAGTCAATTTGAAAATTTCTGGATAACAACAATAGCCTAATTATTATTAAAATTAACTTTAATATGGGCTGCTTTTGGCGCTTCAAACCTTTTTATTGATCATTTATTGTTTCATGAATAACGTCCAAAATTTTGAATACAAGCTACTAGTAAAATGTTTTCTCTATTTAACAACAATACAGTAGGTCAGTAGTGAAAGATTACTTTCTTCAGATTGTATGTTTTCTTGCACAGATGTTAGACTCGTGAAAAATATTTGTTTGCATTGGCCAAAACTGAGTAGCTGAAATCACGACAGGATTACGTTTGGTTCTAAAGCCTTCTTCAATGGTTATTTTCACAATTCATAATGGAAAAGCAGTCAAAATAGGACAAATGAGCTTATGTATGGGACAAATGCTGGACCCTTGTCAGTGAGGAGTGGGTCTTTAGAACCACTCTGACCACCCCTGACTACGGGCCTGTATATATGTACATCATTCACATTTTTACAAAAGAAAAATACTGGAAATGGTTATGCTAATCTATCCAACAATGACTTTTACACTGCTTTGTTGATAACAACATGACGTGAATATTAATGGTTGCTCTTTTCAAATCAGTGTCAATAAACCAGTTTCACTGTGACTAATAGCAGTGTTTGATATTGCCCAGATGGAAAAAAAATCTATAGTAATTTATAATAAATCGGCTACTGTAGTATTTTTGAACCATAGAAAAAGCATGTAGTATATACAACTATTTGTTATCAAATGCTACAGCATACTGTACAAAAACTACACTATACTAGTATACGCCAGGTTTTACATTATGGTGTATTTTAATATATGCTAATATACATTATATTTGTAGAAAACCAAGTGAACAAGGGGGGATTCATTCCGCTGTTGCAACCCCTGATTAATAAAGGGATTAAGCCTAAAAGAAAGTAAATAAAGTGTAAGAGGTAACTTGTTTGTGTTACTATTTGTTGTCATATTAGCAAGTTACCACCATGGGGGTAGATTTGCTTTTGATATTGGTGGGCATCTAATTTGACATCACACCCTCCCCCTTTATTAGTTTAATAAAGACTTCTGATTACTGAGGGCTTATTTGTACGTAATCACAAACCATCATATCTGAACACATTTATGCAGGTGTAATATTGCAAGTGTATATTTGCAAGATGACTTTACATGTCCATGTTTTTTTCTTCTCTCGGCTACAAACAGAACAGCACATAAGCTATTTTGCACTTTAAAAAAATTATAATAAACAAATCAAATACAATTAATAATAAAAACAACATTTATATCAAGCATGTCTTATGGTACAAAAGTGAACTAACATGATTTTACTTTGACAATTTTACTTTCATCAATGATTGCAGACTTCTGGAATGAGGGAGGCATATGACACAATAACCATTTTATCTCAATTGTTGTTTTTTATAATCTTTCGTGGAGGCCAAAATCTAAACTTTTTAAAGTTGCACATTCATGGTTACTTATTATGGTGGACTTGTGGCAAACTTGACTTCAAGTCATCTGACAGTTTTATTTTAAACATAGCTGCGCTTGTCCATGTCTCACTTGAGTCTTGCACAGTAACTGGTTAATTTCGACAAGCACTGTTTTATTTTGGAGACAATTAAATTATTGGAGGGACATTTTAATAATCTGTGGATGTTGGTGGGGACACGTCCACTCCTTCCTTGCTAATTCTACAGCGTTGGTTAAGTTACCACAATCAGGCTAGGCTAGCTACGTTACTAAATTATGGTTTAAAAAACTACTATAAATTAGATGATCTTTTCATATGGGTGAAATAAAAGGTCACGTTTGTAAAATAATAAGCTTCACATCGCTTTCTACCGCCAAGTTTGGTGGGTAACGTTATTCAACAACCATCAGATGCTTAAACTGACCGTTAAAAACAAACGTAAGGTTAAATAGCTGCTAAATAACGTTACGTCTCCTATATGAAAGCGTCAGTGTAAGAAAGTTTCGAAGCTGAACAGAGCTGTAAAAATATTTTACCTGTAATAGTCCTCCTTACAGTAAATGTCTCCGTGTTTGCTGAAGCAGGTGAGCTCTGACTCCAGGTCAGTTTGACATGCGCTGCACTTTAAACAGCGCTCGTGCCAGCGCCTTTCAGCCGCGAGCAGGTAGAACCGATCTGAGATCAGTGCGCCGCAGCCCGCGCACACCGGCGCATCACTGCCCTGCAAAAACATTTCAACATCGTTCACATATAGCCTACTGAAATCTGCTGAACAACACGAGCAGATTTCCTTCGTGTTTAAATAATCATTAATAATTTAATTAATGATGAATTAAAAATTAATTTACTGTGACTTCGTGAATGTATATTTGTTTTGAAGCCCACAAATAGCCTACTTATTTCTTCATAAGCAAAAAAAAAAAAAAAAGACTCTTCTTTCCCAATCATTTAGATTATAGCCTGTTTTTGGTTTACTGTATCTTCGGAATATTTTATTTCGAATTTATCCTAACACACATTAAATTGGCCAAGATTTTACATTAACACTACAGTGTGGTTAACTTTATAATAGTTTATTAATGTTGTAGATGATATTGAATTCAAAACTGTAAAAAAAATATACTTCAGTTCTAGTTAAAAATTAAATGTAATAAATGCAAAATAGTAGGCTATTTGTTATCTATATTAACAGGTTATACATTTAGAAAATCGCTAGGCCTCTATGATATTTAACAAGTCTGTAATAATAATGTTTAGGCTATATAGGCCTAATTCATTTATTAAATTTTAATACAAACATTTAAATAAAAACCCTATAAAAATATTGGGTTACTTTTTATAGCACCCAAACGCTAGTTTCAGTCTGCTGGGTAATTTTTATTAGTTTTGTTTTTAAATCATGTGCAGGATGTGCAGGATAATTGTCACTTTATAATAATACTTGAATGGTATTGATTTTTAAATCCTTCGTACAGAATGTAAAGTTTAATATACATACATACATACATATATATATATATATATATATATATATATATATATATATATATATATATATATATATATATATATATATATAATTTTTTAAATAGACTTTATAGTCAATATCATTTAAGTATTATAAAGTGACAATTATCCTGCGCAGTTTCATTTTTAGCCTAACTGTTTTGTTTGACCCAGCATAAGCGTTTTTTAAAGAGAATAGCCTATATATTTGCACTTCTTGCTGCAAACACACACACACACACACACACACACACACACACACACACACACACACACACACACACACACACACACACACACTATCTTCACAAGCAAATAAAATAAATCCTTACTGATTCATTGTTTTCCATGTGATATAGAGAAAATAACTCCTTTCTTGCCGCACAAGGATGAATGTCTGTAATTTTCCTCAGAAAAATGAAAAGTCTCCAAAGAGGAGATTATCCATGTGCTCGAGGTCTATGTATCTAGCCTATTTATCTATCTGCAACTAATACCGTTAAAAGAGCTATCTAACTTTTAATTGACCAAATTTCCAGTCTAGATAAAGTGCAGTCCGAGAGTTTGTTTGCAGCAGCAGGTTCCCGCGGGTTGTTGCTGTGTGCAGTGCAGCTTGAGTCTGCGGGCTGGAACTGATGCGAGTGAATTAGCCTGCCTGTGCGCGCGCCCGCGTCTCCATCAAATGGGCTCAGTCTGATTCTAGTCGTATGTTTCCAGTTGCACGTTTTTCCTCTCGCTGAGTGAACGCGATGTGGTCTGTTACTCAATCAGGCTTTTGAATAAGTACACCAGTAGTCGCTTTTGTTAGTTTGTTGTCCAATCAAACGTGAATAACCCTAATAACTTATTAATTAGCTTTATTATGATTTTTTACCTTATCACCTTTGAGAAGTAAGTTCATTTATTAAGAGTGACATATTTGTTTTAAAAGTTTCTGTTTTTTTATTCTGTTATTTGCAGCAGGGTTGCTCACAGGAAGAAGGTCACTGGTTCGAGCAGTACATTTTGTTGTGGCGACCCCTGATTAATAAAAGGACTAAGCCAAAAAGAAAATGAGTGTATTGTATTGTTTAGGCTATTCTATTGAATTCAGTATGTGTTTGAATAAAATAAGGGACTAAGCCGAAGCAAAACTAATGAATGAATGTGTTTGTATATTTTAGTAGTAAGTGGTGCATTTCTGTTTGCAACAATTAATTAAATGTAATAATGTATGTTTTATTAGCATGGGCCATGCCACACTTTGAGCTAGACTTATAGGGATGAAAGGGAGAGTAAGGGAACAGTGGGATGAAGGGGAAGGGAAGTGATATTTTGGTAGAGTAATTGAACCCCCTGAGTGATTCACCCTACACTCAGAAATAAAGGCATACGCGAACTGTCACTGGGGTGGTACCTTTTTATATTTTTACCTAAATATTTTAGGAGGAACATTTTTGTACTTTTTAGGTTCTAATATGTACCCTTAAGGTACCAATAAGGACCTTTTAAGTACAAATTTGTACCTTTTGAAAAAGTACCACCCCAGTGAAAGCTCGCGTATACCTTTATTTCAGAGAGTGTAAGAGGGAAGAGAGGGTTTTAGGATTGTTAATGGGAAGCAAAGAAATAGAGGGAGGGTGGGCTCGAGAGAACAAGAAGAGTGCTAAAGGGGCTGGTCTGCCTTAAATCAAATCAAATCACTTTTATTGTCACATCATCAGCAGCACGTGTGCTATGATGAGTAAAAGGCTTAGGTGCTGGCTCCAGACAGTACAAAATACAGACAGTGCAAATACAATGACAGTGCGAAATACAGACAGTGCAAGATACAACTGCATACTCCAACCCCCCAACCCCCCCCCCCCCCCCCAAAAAAAAAAAAACAACAACAAAAAAAAACAAAATAAACTGGACAATGTAAAATTGACAGTGACATGTACAATGAATCGATATCCACATAGTTGTAGGCAGTATTGTTTTTAAGTATGGATTTGTTAAAGTGCGGTGGATGCTACATATTGATGGTGTGCAGTGAGGGGTATAAAAGAGTCTGTTTGAGGTTTGCTAAGTGTTCATCAGCCTGATAGTCTGAGGGAAGAAGCTTTCCTTCAGTCGGCTAGTGCGTGACCGGATGCAGCGGAACCTGAGGGTAGCAGAGAGAAAAGTCTATGACTTGGGTGGCTGCGTTGCTGATGATTCTCTTGGCTTTCCTCATGCACCACCTGGTGTAGATGTCCTGGAGGGAGGGAAGCTCATCTTCTACTACGCGTCCAGCAGTTCGCACATGTAGGCCTTTGCGATTGCTGCTGGTGCTATTTCCATACCAGGTGGTGATGCAGCCAGACAGTTTTAAGTTTTTAGGTGATTGGTTAAGGAGACAAAGTGAGGCATGGTTTAGTGAGGTTATGAATTAACGCATAGATGACAAACAAACAAACAAACAAACAAACAAACAAACATTTAATTTTAACATTCAGAAAAAAAATGTTTGTTAGGGTTAATGTGTGGGATAGAATTTAATAAATATTATTTTAGTTTGCATCTTTGCATCTATGAGCAGTGAAAGGAAGAAATACAATAACAGTCCCTGTTATGATTTATGTTTTCTTTTTGTCTTTTTTTTCACCCTCCTCTCCGTTTGCTCAACCCTTGGTTTCTTATGGTTTATCATTCTGTCGGATTCACCAATCCCAGGACGAGCCGCAAGGATTTAAAGCCCTGACAGACTAGTGTGTGTGGTGCGCTCTGCCTCGGCGTACCCTTTGTGCTCCACGCAATTTGTTTGTTCAATGCTTCGTCCATTTGATGATTTATTATCTCAGTTACTGTGTAAATGTAATTCGAGTTTGCTTGTTGAACTTTGTTGGCTTTAAGTAACATAATGTGATTGTTGTTGTGTGATTCTAAACTAAGCGTTGACGGACTTATTCGGTTTGTTTTAGTTTAGATTGATGTTTTTGTTAGATTAGTTTGAGTGTTTTGCCACCTGTGTATTTTGAGTTTTGTAGTTTAATTAGTTTAGTTCGGGTGTCGTATACACTGAAGATCTCGGTTTTTATTTGTGATTCTTTTTGACGCCTAGTTTAGACATTAGATTTAAGGATTGTTTTGTTTTGTTAATTTTTTTGATTTGGCTTACACTCGTTGTTTTTGTTTAAAGATAATAATTATAAATGTTTATTTCTTTTTTTCCCCCATTTACTATTGTTACATATTGTTTCAATTATTGAGTAAAAAGCTTAAACAAGAGTAATTGATCCTTGCCTCATTCTTGATCTGTCGCACACATTACACCTGTCTCACCTAAATGTTACAGCATCCCACTTTAACATCCTAAACACGTAACAGTCCCATAAAATTGATCTGAAGTTTATTTCTTATTAACATGTTCTGAACGCCAAAAATTCGTATCTATTTCTCAATAATAAGAAATAATATTCATTCATTCATTTTCTTTTCGGCTTAATCCCTTTATTAATTAGCGGTCGTCACAGTGAAATGAACCGTCAACTTATCCAGCACATGTTTTATGCAGCGGGACGCCCTTCCAGCTGCAACCCATCACTGGGAAACACGCATACACTCCTATTCACACACATAAACTACACTCTCAGAAATAAAGGTACGCAAGCTGTCACTGGGGTGGTACACATTTGTACTTAAAGGGTCCATGTTTATACCTCAAAAGTATATATTAGTACCTACAAATTTTAAGAGGAACACTTTTGTACTATTTAGGCACTAATATGTACCTTTGAGGTATTAATTTAGATCTTTTAGGTATCACTTTGTACATTTTGAAAAGGTACCACCCCAGTGACAGTTTGCGTACTTTTATTTCGGTACTTTTTTATTTCGTGTACGGACAATTTAGCTTACAGAAATACCAACTTTCTCAGCCGAGGCTCAAGCCAGCGACCTTCTTGCTGTGAGGCGATTTTGCTACCCACTACGCCACCGTTCTGCCCCTATAATAAATAATATAATATATAAATATGATAATACATGGGAGAACTATTGTCATTATAAATATATATGATGAGGGTCTAAAAAAATAAATGCTTTGTTTATTACATCTGCGCAAATGTATCCCCCACCCTCAATCGTGGAAAAGTCCAGCACACAAATTAGGTAAAGATTTAGTTTTAAAAACGAAATATTTTATATATGATTTTTTTTTGTTGTGAATTAATTTTAAGAAAATAAATCATTTTACAAGATGCTTTAAATGTTGTTATTTTTATTATTATTATTATTATTTTGCATTAAGACAAAATGTAGAAAAGGACTGAGTGAATGATATAAGAAAAAATAAAACTGCAAAATAAACCAATTAAAAATAAATTAAAATAGAAAAGTGCATTTCAGAACTTTACGGCCCCATGGCTGGAATTGTTTAGGGCTCCCAATTCACTAAATCCACCCCTGCCTGTGATGCATGAAAAGAGAAACACAACTTGTAATGTGGAAAAAAGAACCACTACAATTAACCTTTTGCACTTAAAAACAGAAATTCAGAGCTAACCGCGGGTAACAGTCCTAAAATCAGGTAATATTTGGCAGCTCCATCAAGGGTTGCGTGCTGAATGTGCTGTTATAGCCTGGAAAGCAAATGTTGTCAGGGCACTATTACAACCTCCCCAGTCTAGGGTTGGAAATGAGTAATAAAGAAAGTGGTGGAGGTTTGAATGTAGATTTCCCTTCTACTGACTCACAAAAACAGCAAGCTTTGCGTAAAAAAGTATAAAGCATCTAGAAAATCGATGTTACTTCCGTCCCTGCTCTCCCCTACTGTATTTATTAATTTGTTTACTTTTTATTTGCTTTAATCTAACTTGTTCATGTTAATCAAACTATTATAATTATTTTAATAAACCATTAGTTTATTTTTTCATGTTGGTTTTTATTTTAATCATATTTTTTATTTAATACATTTAACCCCCCACCCCACGCCCCCCGGAGGGTCCCCGGACCTCAGTCACACCTCTGCCACAGTGCCACAGATAACGTTCTCTCCGTTTATAAAGTACGCCATAGTTTTAAACTCCGATTCAGTCAGTGCACTCCTAACAACAAAAACATCCTCACTGCCCATCTGTCATACAGCTGTAACAGTTGTTATTGCAATTCATTCTAGCAATGTTCAGGCACCGCACACTACACTCTCTTATATGTCAGGCGACTCGTACGCCACTGCTTCTTCGCCGCGTGGGAAATGTAGTTCACCGCTTTATCGACTTTTAACCGCAGCCACGCCCTGAAAACTACAACTCCCATAACTCCTCAAGACAGTAGTACCGTGATCCGCGCGTGGAGACCATGGCGTTCCTGAGCAGTATGTGACGGGGATAACGGGGAAATATAACTCCGACAGCGGGTTATTCTCACGCTATTCAGAGGAGAGGATTGGATTTAAATAAAGAATAAAATGGGCTCTCGTATCAAGTAAGCGTCACTATCTCTCCCCCTTTCTCGGCGTTGTTATAAATGCCTCTCCAAAAGGCCTGTTTAGACTTGTTGCGACAGAGGGAGACTGTGCTTTTGGGGTTTGGGCGTTTATGTTGTTATTTGGATAATTAACGTTGCTGTTAATTATGTTTTCATATGTTCAGTAGCCGGGGGTGTGTGTATTTTTAATATTTATCGCTGTGTTATAGGCGGAGACACATTAAGACAATGAGACTGGAGATTGTTTACATGCCCTATATGATTGAATATATGCATATTTTGTATGTTACTAAGCGATAATCTTGATGTATGGTCAATCAAACGCATAACACTGTCAAATGAAGTGTAAGAATGGATTTATAGGAAGGTTTTGGGGTCTAATTACGTTTCCAGCTCAGTGACACTTGCCTGCTTAAGTAATTCAATGCAGTTTATGAATAAGAAATGAAATTGGGCCAGTCAGTGCCTTGCTGGTCACTGTGTTTTTCAAGGGTTAAAATCAGACCCAGATATCATTGAGGTAAAGTAGGTTTTATATTCACACATTTCAGACTTTCTCCTTAATAATATTATTTCAGGAAAGCATTCTGTGCAATTTGCAAATAGTCCAAACATTATGGCAGCCTATGACTATCAAAGTACACCATTGTTTATAGTCAAATAAATAGTGCTAATGTTGTTTTGAAGTCATGTTTACATGTAATTTAAGACCGAATATTTAAAGTGTCATGGTAAACACTATAGGGAGCGTGTCACAAGTTGACATTGAATGAATATGTGAATATAAAGGCAACTTTACATCTATCCAGATAACACTTTTGTTGGCAAAGTTGGTCTTGTACTTACACATTCATACTTTCTCCCTATTAATATAATTTCAGAACTTCTAAATAGTGAAATCATATTAGCAGCAAATGACTAACAGGGTTTATCAGGTCATGGAAAACATGGAAAAGTCATGACATTTTGACATGGCATTTTCAAGGCTTGGAAATGTTTTGGAAAAACCAACAAGGTTTTGGAAAAGTCATGGAAATTACATTTAAATTTAGCAATTCAGCAGACATTTTTGTTCAAAGTGAGTTACGCTGCGGTCACACTAAAGCTTGTGCTTGCAAAATTGTGTCGTATGGCACTGCGAAAAAGGGCAGGGTTAAACAATATTATTCAACATTGGTAAAGTTAGAGATTGCTCCATATTTTACATTTCTTATTTTTGAATTATCTTCTATTGGTCTTACGCAGTCACCTGATGTGATTTCGCTGATAAGAATCACTAAGCTTAAACTTTCGAATGCAGTGAAATGTGAAACGTGTCGCTCGTGCTTGCGTTTCTGGTCTGCCGCATTCGCATGCCTATGAATGGAAGTCTGTGGAGCGAAAAGTGCAGCGTGATCGAGGCTTTGTAATAGAAGTAGTTTACATAATAGTTTAACAAACTATTAAGATTAACTATTACTATTAAGATTATTAAAATTTGTTTGAAAAAGGTCTGTATATTGCCAAAAACATGCTCTCACATTAGTAGTGCTGTGTAAGCATCACCTTTTTACATAGATATAAAAAAAACTTTAAATTATTGCGTGTTTTATGATATGCTGTAATACATTTAAATGTTTCTTATGAATTACCACGTATATGTAGACATTACATGAAACATTAGGTCATGAAAATTGACTTAAAGTCCTGGAAAAGTCTTGGATTTTTAGTAGTAAAAATGTGTATGAACCCTGGATTAAGAACAGCATTGCTGTACAAAGTCAAACAAATAGTGCTAATGTTGTTTTCAAGTCATGCTTGCATGTGATTTCAGACCGAATATTCAAAGTACCACGGTAAACAATATAGGGAGCATGTCACAAGTTGTCACTGAACGAATGTGCGGATATAAAACCAACTTTACCTCACTGTTTTGGAAACAGCCTGAAGGACAGAACAAAGTCAGACAGACATTCATTCTGTTTAAGTTTGTTGTTGATCTGTCTGTTCATTAATGGTGATATTTGATAAACTCTGGAATTTTTAAACAATTTTTTATTGAATTCATTGACAATGTTGAGAAATTAGGTCTTCATATATTTGTGTGTCTTATTTAATCCATATTTTGAGCAAATTTTAATTTCAAGCAATAAAAAAAAAGTTCATGCAATACTGCTAAGGTCAGAGAAACCATGCAAATGTTGTTAGTCAGTTTTATTTTTACATTTCTGTCTAGCTGACGGGCTTATTTTGTGGTTTCTGTAAACAGATAGGATATTTTTTTTTTCTGCAGTAGATGAGTATACTGTCAGTAATGTGGGAAATGTGACCTTATTCACTTTAGCATTGACCTCAAATCTGAACACAAGCAAAATGGCAAAAGCAACTTTTTGTCCTTTGGTAGGCTTATATTACATCTTTTTTTCTTTCTTCTTTTCGTCATTTGATTTGATCTGATCGCTCACATTTACCACTGTTCCACCTACAAGGGATTAGAAAATAAAATAAGTGATAAATATTGTATCTTAAAATTATGAAAGATTTGGTTCGTTTTTTTTTTAAATAAAACATTTTTACTTTTGATTAAAAAAGCATAAATAGCATTGGTTTTAGTGAATAAAATCAAATAGAAATGCATATTCTATCAGATGCATATGTTATATGTTTATTTATGTAAAATATATTTTGATAAAAAAAAAAACTAAAATATTTTCCAGCTGTAAGATGTTTTTGCCAAATAGTAATTAAAAGCAGTTTGTGCTGTTTACATCTCAAAGTGCTGAATATCAAGTCTGTAAATTCTCAAAATCAATGTCACACCATTAAATAAAAGGTCTTTTTATAACGAATACCCTTTATGGATGTTTTTTTTTTTAAAGTTATCCCCAGGCAGAATTGTAAGTTATTTATCAAACATTAAATTGAATCATTATATTTAATTTTTAATATAGAGTTTTTGTGAATTGTATTGGAGCAATTCCATGCAAAGTCAACCTTGCCACGAAGAAAAATCAGTTTTCATTAAAATACCGAAATCGTTTCTAGGTTTTTTGTGTAAGCCGATATTTTACAGTACTTTAGAAATACTCAAAACTGTCTCTTGTCAATGTTTTTAAACAATTGTGTTTGATTTACCAAAGTCACAAACTCACGGGAGTGGCAATTTCACATCCGTCACATCCATAATGCAGAGATGTCACATCCATAATGAAGCGTTTCCCTCATAAATGCCAAAATATTAAATAAAATCAAATCAATCTTGTTTGTTATATAGAGAGGCAACTCTAATCCTTTAAATTAGCATTATTTTTTTAGGTTGTGCAGTTTAATTCACAGAATTTCTACAAAGCGTGTTTTATACTGCAAACTTGCATGGTTTTTCGGTCACATCCATAACGCATGTTTATTTTTCTCATTTAAAGTACAAAACATGTTTTACAGACTGATATTTCTCTGATCCCAGAACTCTGTGGTCCGTTCTTTTTGAAAATTAAAAAAGGAGTTTTAATATAATGTGAACATATACTTTCTCGGTGTATTTATGTTTTGAGTTTTTACTGCAATTGTCACATCCATAATGCTGGAATTGCTCATTTATTCATTTCTATTTATGTATTTGATTGTGTATCATCTCTGATTGAGTTAATGTTTTATGTATATTGATCTTGTTATGAAATAGCCAAAAGTTGCTTATATGGCAATAAAAAAAAAAAAAAAAAAGACTCAAAATTCTTACACATTCTTTAGATTGTTTCTGTATCTGACCTTTCACCTTGTTTTATTTACGTTTTAGGGAGAGCCCTGGGTCAGCCTTTGAGGTGTACATGGAGGTGGTGCATTCTGGGACGGCTGGCTCTGGTGAGTCTGTTTTCACAAATATAATAATCATGCGTAGGGCTGCTCGATTATGGGAAAATTCATAATCACGATTATTGTCATAATTGTAATCACGATTATTCAAAACGATTATCAGTTGAAGTCAAAAATATTCGTCCTCCAGTAAATTTATTTTTATATATAAATATTTCCCAAATTTTGTTTAACAGAGGGATTTCTTTACAGTATTTCCTATAATATTTTTTTTCTTCTGGAGAAAGGCTTATTTGTTTTGTTTCTGCTGGAATAAAAGCAGGTTTGAATATTTTGAAATCTATTTTAATAGCTCGATATTATTAGCCCCTTTAAGCAATATATATGTTTGATTGTCTGCAGAAGAAACTACTGTTATACAATGACTTGTCTATTTACGCTAGTTAAGCCTTTGAATGTCACTGTAAGCTGAATATCTTGAAAAACATCTAGTAAAAATAATGTGCTGTCATCATAGATAAGATAAAATAAATCAGTTATTAGAAATAAGTTATTAAATCTGTTATGTTTAAACTGTTTTTTAAGCATCTTCACTGTATTTTTAATTTTATTATTAATTAATAATAAAAACAGTCGGCAGCAGCAGGAATACCGCACGCTGTCTCTTTAAGAATAGTGCGGCTATGATATGGTTTCTCTTTCTCGTGTCTTTTGATTCTCAACTTGTTTGTTTATTACACAAATGAGGGTTAATATGAATAATCACTAAACACTGCGCTCTGACACAAATGTGCATGTATTTGACCCTTAAAGCGCTCACATTAAGATGTGTGTGTGCTCTGCTGTCTGAGGCTAAGCGCGGCGCGGCGCGCACGCAAACACACACACACACGCTACCTGTCCGAGGCTAAGCACGGCGCGCACACACACAACAGCACGTGCTCTTTTGCGCTTTTAAAAATATGAATGATGCGCATCCCGTGCTGCAAAAGTTACATTACAGCACATGCTTTTAGTCATTTTCACGTGGAACTGAGTTTTGCAGAGGCAAAGAGTTTTCACACATGTACAACTAGAAAGGGTACGTGATAGAATAATCGTTTATCTCGATTAATGGTTTTTCATAATCATTGAAAGCCAAAATCGAAATCGAAATCGGATTTTCGATTAATTGCACAGCCCTAATTTTGAGGCCCACACAAACAGTTGAAGTCAAAATGATTAGTCCTCCTGTGAATATTTTCCAAATGATGTTTATCAGAGGAAGACATTTTTTTACAGAATTTCCTATAACATTTTTTTCTTCTGGAGAAAGTCTTATTTGTTTTTTTTATTTCGGCTAAAATAAAAGCAGTTTTTAATTTTTAAAAAAACATTAAGGTCAATATTATTAGCCCCCTTTAGCAATTATTTTTTGATTGTCTACAGAACAAATCACTGTTATACAATGACTTCTCTACTTACTCTAACCTGCCTAATTAACTTAGTTAAGTCTTTAAATGTCACTTTAAGCTTTAAGCTGAAAATATCTAGTAAAATATTATTTACTGTCATAATGGCATAGAAAAACTAAATCAGTTATTATAATTGAGTTATTAAAACTATTATGTTTAGAAATGTTTAAAAAAAAATATTCTTTCCTTTAAGCAGAAATTGGAGAAAAAATATATAGAGGCTAATAATTCAATATCAATGTCAATTTTATTTATATAGCACTATTATACACAACCAAAGGTTGACCAATGTGCTGAACAATACAAATCACAAAGAACAAGTATGAAATTATAGCTAAAACAAACAATTCTCACTAATAGTTATTAAAGCTAAAAACAAACAAACAATTCTCACTGATAAAATGCCAAATCAAAAAGGTCAGTTTTCAACCTAGATTTAAAAACAGACAGAGATGATATAGACCTAATGCAGAGGGGCAGAACATTCCACAAGGTAGGACCAGCTACTGCGAAAGCCCGGTCACCCCTGCATTTAAGCCTCGACTTTGGGATGTATAATAGTCTCTGGTTAGATGACCGAAGAGACCGACCAGGCTGATGCTCAGTCAACAGGTCTGACAGGTAGAAAGGAGCTATGCCATTTAGAGATTTAAAAACCAGGAGAAGAAGTGACACGATAGTGCACAGGCAACCAGTGCAAAAAGCGCAAAACTGGTGTAATGTGGTCATATTTTTTGGTACCGGTTAAAAACCTTGCAGCCGCATTTTGAACTTACTGTAGGCAGGATAGAGTTGTCTGACTGATCCCAAAATATAGCGAATTACAGTAGTCCAATCTAGAAGTAATAAAAACATGAATTATTTTTTCAGAATTTTTTCTAGATAAAATAGGTTTGACTGTTTTTAAAATTCGAAGTTGAAAAAAGCAGGATTTGATCACTGCGTTAATCTGTTTATCAAACCTCAAGCCATCATCAAAGATAACACCCAGATTTTTTACACAATTCAAAAGGTATAATAATTCTGACTTCAACTGTGCTTCCTCATAATGCAATGATTCACTGTAGTTCACTTAAAATTGTCTTCCTTTTTAAGTTTGAGACAATAATTTAAGTGAACTAAATCTGTAACTTGTGTCACTTCCTGGTTTATGAAAGGCTTGTTCAGTGATTCAATGCAAATGTATTATCAGTCCACCAGAACAGATTTTTATGAGGGGCACGGCTGTAACGATGTTATGATGAACTAAATGTGCAGTTAATGAGTTAAACGTCAATACCAGTTCAAGAGTTTTGTTTGAGACATACAGTTGAATACAGTCTTCAATCTGAATTCTTTTATTTTTTCTTCACAATTTTTGTTCATAATGGAGAGTAAAAAATAAACATTTCCAAACTTAATAGTTTGAATTATTAAGTTTTAATAGCTGATTTCATTTACCTTTGCTATGATCAAGGTGACATAATATTTTACTAGATAGTTACTAGATTAAAAAATAAATAAATCTATGCCCACTTTTAATAAAAATATAAAATATACAGGCAGCACGGTGGCGCAGTGGGTAGTACAATTGCCTTACAGCAAGAAGGTCGCTGGTTCAAGCCCCGGCTGTGTCAGTTTCTGTGTGGAGTTTGCATGTCCCTGTGCATATTGTCTAAGCCGAATGAAAATGAATGAATGAATGAATAAAATATACAAATATAAATACAAAATATATATATATTTTTTAAATATTGTTTATAAAAAACAGTGCTGAAGTCTTGATGTCTTTGGGGGCGATTTATTTCTAAATATAGTTTCAAAAGTACAGCCTTTATTGAAACAAAAATGTGTGTGTGGCATTATAAATGCCAGCTTTAATCAAATTTAATGCTTACTTGCTCAATAAAAGTATAAAAAAAACAATCTTGCTGACCCCAAACTTTTGAACAGTAGTGAACAATAGTCTGCACTCGAGCTGTTTAAAGTGTCTCCCCCATTGAAACCCCTAGACGACGGTTGCTTAGCGACCGTATGGTTTGATGAAGGCAGCATGAGCAAAGCATCTTGGGTCTGTTCTCTTGAGACAGACCTTCCCTTGGCGTTCACACATCCACACACTCTCAAATCCCACTGAAAGCTGAGGAAACCTTTCAGATTAGCCTGAGGGTGTGTGTTTATATCTGAACTCTCACTGAATGAAACAGACAGTGGATATACTGATTTTTGAACTCATCTCTCACAACTTTAATTCAGTTGGTTTGAAATGTGCTATTTTCAGAGATGCATTTATTAAAAAAAGTATCTCATGTAATCAAAACCGATCATTTATTGTTATATAATGTCTGTGTTTTTGGGTTTATTGTATACAGTTCATCATTGTTGCCAGAGCTTGACATTAACTTTTTTGATCAGCAGCCACTGTGGCTAGTAGATTTTCTACATTACTAGCCACTTGCCATTTTCACTAGCCACAATTTTGTTGTTGGGCAAATATATATTAAATGCATAAATTTGACTTTAACATGCTAAAATGACTTGATTTAGGGCCTACTCACACTATGCCATCCGTACCGTGCCCAGGCCCGTTTCCCGGATCGTTTGAGAAGTGAGTGCGCTGAATCGGGCTCAAGCTCGGTTCACTTGGCCGGCCCTGGCCCGGTTGGAAGAGGTGTGCCTGAGCGCGGTTCACTTGGGCTTTGGCGCGGTACGCTTGCGTGTGAGTGCAAAATGTGCCAAAGCCCGAAACTGAAAGCGAGACGTGACTTTTAAGGGGCCGTTTCATATGGATTTATTAGTCATTCTTGCTGTTCAGTGAACGCAAACTGCCGTAGTTTATTAAAGACGAGAACTCACAGCACGACAGCTGCGCGGCTTCAGCAGACCTCCTCATTCCTCCAGCACGAGAGCATTATGATGGTTTTTGAGCGCCAAAAGTGGCGGATCTGTTCGGCGAAATATCTGACTGTGTGTCACCCCATCCCTAAGGACTGTTTGGCGAAATATTTGACTGCATGTCACTGCATAACAAACGACTGAAACGTTGAACAGCACAGCAGCGATGACGTAAGCATGCCGAGGCCCATTTGTGGTGTGAGTGCGGGCCGTCGGGGGAGATGGGAGGGGGGACAAGCTTGCTTTGGCCCGGTTCGAGGCAACTGTACTTAGTGTGAGTACGGCCTTAGATTTTGTGTTATCTCCACATGCCTCCTCATTCATTTAACTGTTTTATATGTTGTTAATTAGGGTTGGGGGATGTTGATTAATTTGGCATTGTATGATGTCGTTTACTGCTATTTTATGTCATTTTGCTCACATGAATAATTGAATATAAATCAGATGATGTCATTACGCTGATGTGCCGTCAGCCAATCGTTGCATTGCTGATCATGATTTTGGGGATCGTTAGATCTGTCCTTTACAACACACGCAGCAATCTCAGATCAGTTCATCCAGACATTTTAATCTGATTCGCGAACTTGTTTGAAGAACCAAATTAGCCAGAGATCAGTTATCAAGATAAACAGATCCAGGATCTGCCAAATCATCTTAGATCATTTAAGCGAGGTACGAAGAACGGACCCTAGTTCAGTATGGTTCAATAATCACTTCTGAGAGTCCAAACACTGAAGAGCAATCCATCGATGCGCAGATCCCGAACCATGCAAGCCAGTGGCGACAGCAGCGAGGAAAAAACTAACTAAAGAATTAAAAAACTTAGAGAGAAACCAGGCTCAGTTGGGCACGACCATTTCTCCACTGGCCAAACGTCTTGTGCAGAGCTGCAGTCAAGACGCCGGAGGCTGGAGCTGGACCTCAGCGAATACTCGTCTGTCCCTGGAGCGTCGCATGAATCATGAAACAGCCCGGTCCAGGATATGGAAACCTTGGGATCATCTCATCGCTGGTCTTGGATCGATCAGTGGCGCTTCGTAGTCTGAGGGCCTCGGGATGAGTATCCCCAGGTGGAAATAGAGAATAATTAGCATAGCTGCTGTTCATAGTGTATATAAACGAGATGCAAAAACCTGTGTGGAGCACATTCATGGATCATACCGCTAAGTGATGGTCTGAGTTAGAGCTGCACGATTCTGGCTAAAATGAGGAGCGCCATTTTTTTGCTTAAAATAAAATCACGATTTTCTCACGATTCCGTAGATGTAAAATAAAGGTATGGTAAAAACAAACATATGCACAACATCAATAATCATATTATGTGTAGGTCTACTGGTTTCTATGAATAATTCTATTTTACTTATAATAATTCTGATTTTGAATTATTGTGTTTAAGATATATGCTTGCTATCTGTCATATTAGACAAATTTATTCACTGGTAAAATCAGACATTTGCCATTATCAGATTATATTCAACAATATATAAGCTAGAGTAGTTATACTGACATTGTAAACATTTATTTTCATGCACAACTGTGGGTTCGCTATGAAAGAAAAAACATATCAAATGCTTGTGGTAATCATAACTCTAAAATGCGATTTGATCGCGCGGCCTCTCTGTGATAACAGCTCACGTCACGTGTGATATCCCGGCCACAAAAACATCATTATATGAAGATAAAAATGGCATTTTAGGTGAATTATACCTTATAAATACAGTATGTGACTCATTCAACACCATTTGGAGGTGTCCATGTCACTGAGCAACGTGTGTGAAACAATGAAAAGACTCGTGCAGCCGCCTTTGCTTCTCTCCTGAACTTGAAAATATGATTGGCAGAATAGTAGAAATGCTGGATTAAGATCGTCTAGGGCAGGGGTCGGCAACCCAACATGTTGAAAGAGCCATATTTGACCAAAAAAAACAAAAAACAAATATGTCTGGAGCCGCAAAAAATGTAAAGCCTTATATAAGCCTTATAATGAAGGAAACACATGCTGTATGTATCTATATTAGCTATATTAGCCTACTAAAAAAATGAGTAAGTTGGCTATAAATACATAATGAGCCTTCATGATTAAATAGCCACTGAAATAAGGTGGTTGGTGTTTATTTCGTTATCATTTAAACACTTCAGCACAGCCTCTGGTCTTTTAGTGGTATTAATTTGATCATTTCTTCTTGCGGCCCATCAGAGTTCACATACCTGCATAAAAGCGCGTTGAATATCGGTCAAATCACAGGCAATTTAGTATGCTGGCACTGAATTAATGTCCTTGGTTTGCTGATCGTTGATGTTACCTGCCATTTTAATAGCCCTTTCCTTCACTGTCTTTGCGGAGAGAGGTATCTTTAATTTTTTGTATTATCTTGATTTTGTTTTTGAATTCTGCAAATAGGTGTTCTAATATGTTGAATGACTCCATGTAGTCACCATCTGTGAACGGTTTTCCATGCTTTATTATCTTCCGGTTTGTTTACAACAGCCACCTGCCTGGCATCCCGCCCTGCTGATAGAAACGTGTGTCGCAGGTTATGACGCAAATCTTCATTGACAGAAATGTTGAAATTAAATATTAATTCTACACACTTTTACAGCATTTGAAAACGTTAAAAATGTTTGTCCTCCTATAGAAATCATATTAAAACTGAAAAAATATATTAAACTCCCCCATCTTTTTCCATTTTCAAACATTTTTGAAAAAGCTCCAGGGAGCCACAAGGGCAGCGCTAAAGAGCAGCATGCGGCTCTAGAGCCGCGGGTTGCTGACCCCTGGTCTAGGGGGTCGAATCGAGATCGCGATCTTTTAACGATTAATTGTGCAGCTCTAGTCTGAGTGTATGCTTTACTAAACAGTCTTTAATCTAGTTTTGAATTGGGAGAGTGTGTCTGAGCCTCGGACATTATCAGGAAGGCTGTTTCAGAGTTTAGGAGCCATAAATGAGAAGGCTCGACCTCCTTTACTCGACTTTGCTATTCTAGGTACTACCAGAAGCCCTGAGTTTTGATATCTTAAAGAGCGAGTTGGATTGTAGAAAGACAGAAGGTTGGTTAGATAAACAGGAGCTAGATTATTTAAAGCTTTATATGAAACAAGCAATATTTTAAATTCAATACGAAATTTAACAGGCAGCCAGTGTAAGGAGGATAAAATTAGGGTGATATGATCATATTTTCCAAACCTGGTAAGAACTCTGGATTTTGCATTTGCATTTTGTACTAGCCGAGGTTTGTTAATAGAGGATACTGGGCAGCCAGCAAACAGCATTACAGTAATCCAGCCTAGAAGTCATAAAAGCATAGACTAGCTTTATCATTATCATAATTTTATTTGTTAACATTCCCCAGATTTTTTGTACTTGCTAGGTAAATTGTGATGATATAGAAAAACACCTGTGTGTATGCATCTATTTAATAACTTTCAGATTTCTGTATTATTTTCAGGACTAGAGGTGCGCAGAAGTTTCCCCGACACATACACTGAACAGGTTTGTGCTTCTTAATTTTTTTTCCTCTGTGTTTCTCCAGGGATGTTGAGGTAGATCTCATAATTGTTGCTCACCTCAGTGATAATGCATTGAGCACCTGCTCTGACAGATGGAGTTTAAACCACTAGAGAGTCTGCGGTACCAAACACCCTCTGAAGGGGATTTAACCAAACTCACTCAAGATTGTGACTCAGGCTTACATATGCTTTCGCTGCGTCTGACTTCTGCTTATTCCCTCTTCTGTGAATGACACTATATCTAAAGTAGTCAGCAAAATCATATGCTGATGTAAATATTGTCTGCCAAAGAGCTCTGAAGGTGATGAGTGACTAGCAACTGTTTTCTCTTTTATTTATTGATATACATTTGAATTCATGCTAATCAGTGTTTCTGCACAGATAGGAGAACTCGTCCCAAAAAGAAGTAATAAAGGCTGCAATAACAATCACTTATCTACCTAAATATTTGTAATACAGTGGTCCCTTGTTTATCGCGGGAGTTATGTTCTAGAAATAGCCCCATTATATTTATATTTATTTTCAGAGATGTTTTAAGGCTGTAAAACCCCTCACTACACATTTTACACACATTTTTTTTGACGGGCATTAACATTTTCACACTTTTCTCTTTCGTTTAAGCTCTCAAAGTTTAAACCTTTGTAGAAAAATAAGTCCAGTATTATAGAATAAAAACAAAGATCAAAACCTGTTGTCAGGCGCAAAACGTTCATAAAGCTTTTTAGCTTTAGTGTGGATAATATTGACGTCCAGCGTAATGTTCTTATTCCTGCAGTCACTGATCCACAAAGCGAAAGCAGACTCCATCCTTAAAGGGGTCACAGCAGATGCGCCACACACAGGACAGTTGGAAGTAAACACGGACGCACACATTCGCATGTTAATTAAAATGCAATTATTCAGATGGAGCTCTGTTGTGTGGTAGAAATATGAACAGTGTGCTGATTCTTAGCTGGGCACCACAGACAGCTGCCGACTCTCGGCGCCAGTGTGCGTACCCTGAAACCTATGTTTGCATGGCGCTCTGTGGAGCGACGCATCCGGTGTGTCACCCCTTTATGACTAATCCTTTTTGCATCTTTCTTGAAACTCACACTGCTAGCGGTAGAAAATTGATGTTAATTTGGCAAGCTAAACGCATTCAGTACTGTACCGGAAACATGGAGAAGATTGATTGATTATGGTCTACAGCCAATCAGGACGCAGAACACAATGCTAAAAGCATGTAAAATTGCAAACAAAAAAATCTGCGAGACCGCGAAAGGTGAACCACGTTAAAGTGAGGGACTCAACACTTGTAAACAATCGCTCGCGCCATTCGCGCGACTCTCGGTCCCGCCCAGACTCGTCAGCGCTACCAAGCTGTCCAATCACAGAGCTTGCGCTACGCGTTGTTTCGACGTGAAGTTACATTTTTGAGAGGTGCACGTCAGTGACGCCGACGGCCACGGCGAAGGGCTATGCGTCAGCGCCGTAGCATACGCCGGCGTTTGACGCAGAAGTATAAATCAGCCTTTGTGTTCATTCATTCATTTGTTTTCTTTTCGGCTCAGTCACTATATTAGTCTGGGGTTGCCACAGCAGATTGAACCACCAACTTATCCAGCATTTGTTTTATTATATTATTAATGACCTCCAGAATCAAGAGCGTCTGTGCTCCGCATCTCACGCCTTCAAATGCCACCACACGTTCATTGCATGTCAGGATTGCCTTCTGAGGTGCAAGTCTTTTATTAAATGAAGAAAAGATTGTCACAGCTTCTCCTACTGCAGCAAATTCTGTTTTTACTGTTGATATTTGGCGCCAGATAATCAGGAAGTGACAATTTTGTTCGCTTTGACTCATTGGGTCTAAACAGCTTTATTTGCACATCTTTTTTGCAATAATTCAGTTTGCGCACAAGGTTACTTCGCATTTTTGAATGGAAACATAGCTTGTGATAAATTAAATCGTGGTTAATAGGGAAATCAGTTAATTGTTGCATCCCTAATGTGTGTGTATAACTGGAACCGATGTGTGTACCTGGCCACTCTGTTTACTCTTTGTCTACACACACACACACACACACACACACACACACACACCAGGGTGTCTGCAGTGTCTTAAAGTTTTAGGCCTTATAAAGTCTTAAGTTCATTGAAATATTGTGTGTTGTAGGTCTTAAATCATTTTAAACTGGTATTAATTTTCCTCTGTCCATGTAAAGCTATGCCATAAGGGCGACAGACATCCAATCAACAACAATATATCTCAATAAAACTTTTAACTAAAATCTCATGGACAGATTGTTGTGCAATGCGTTTAGTTTACTAAAGTTTTTAAGAAAGGTTAAGAAAGCTTATCGTGAAGTAAAAGAGTATGTATTCAACTGGAGTTTGCTTGTTTTGATGCATTATTTAAAATATGTGGCTAAGAGCTTTTTTGATGAGGCAAGTTAAATTATTTTCCATTAGTCTATTATAAAAAAGTCCTTAGCGTTCAGTGCTATATAAGTCGGAAATTTCATTCATATTGGTCTTAAAATTGAAACCTGACACACGCACAGACACAGCTTTACTCATTCTGAATGTTGGGTCCACTGCTCCCAGAAGGCAAACCCAGTTGTGAAGCTCTGTAATCTGGGCTGCGTCGCCTCCCTCTCCTCTGTCATGCTATTGTTCCAGGGATAATCCTTAACTCCTGACACAGATGAGAGCAGAAAACTATACACGCATACGCACTCTCTCACAAACACCCCTGAGGGCAAAAGTCCATATGGAGGGGAACCAGAGCAACAATTCTCGCCCAAGGGTTTAAATACTGTGGTAGCTCCAGAGCAACACACAGTTTCATCTGTGCAAGTGGTGCTTTTGTGTGAATGAAGCTAGTGATTATACTTCGGTGTATATTACAGGATTTGTTTTAGGGTAATTTAGTGTTTTTTAATGCAAGCTGCATGCATTTAATAAAAATTACAAGAACTGTTTTAATTTGTTTTTAAAAAGTAATTTTATTTCTGTGACGCAAAGCTGAGTTTTTAGTAACCTTACTCCAATTCACAGTGTCTTATGATCCTTCAGAAATCCTAATGATATGCTGATTTGCTACTCGGGTAACGTTCTTTATTATTAACAAACAAATCAGTTTTTTTTAATGCTTCATATTTTTGTGGAAACCTTAGCTCTCCCAAGCAAATTAGTTATGTATGAAAGACATTTATCATTTTTTAATATTTTTATTTATAATATATTTTTTTCTTTTTAACTTTCTTTTCGTCAAAAAATCCTAAAAAAAACATTATAGTGATCACAAAAATATTACATAATGTGTTCAGCATTTATGCTGTTAGGAGTTCCACATGAGGTGGTTATTAATTAGCAAATAACTTAAATATTACGAACGTAAACATTAGGTAAGCAGCTAACATTGGCTGTTTCTCAATACCAAGTACGCAAAGTTCGGACTTGTGTCCTTGGAAGTTCAGACTTGCCAAGTTCAGATTTGGAAGAACGAACTCCAGAGGACACAAGTCGGGTACTTCTTCAAATGGAACAGCAGTGTACTTTATAACGTCACTCACCATGGATTCATCGGTTTCACTGTACATTAACAATAAAATAATTTAATTAATATTATATTTATATTATAAATCTACATTTTTGATTTAAGAAAATAAACACATATATTCGGATAAATGTGAATTAAAATGTGTTGTTATACACAGACACGTGTCTTTGATTATCACATTTATTAAACTACAATGGTAATTATACACTGGCCCAATACAATAAGAAATAGACATACACGATAAGAAATAAAGATTACGTCAAACAATTCGGTAAACAAAGACAAACAGCGTACAACACAATAACATAATTAAAGACAACTATAAAAGGTAACACAACAACACTGCCAAAATAATACACCTGAGAACAAATAATAGATTTATAAGACCAAAAACTGTCCGTTAGATATTCGCAAGATGTCATGAATATCATATTTTAACTGCAATGGAGTGATGAGGTCCAGCGGTACATCCGAGATGGCCTGGACGAATTAAAGCTGCTCTGGCGGGAGAGCTGTTGACGGAGCTCCCGCTGGCAGGCTGGGAGTCAGAGTCCGCATAAGCCGAGGCACATCGTCAAAGAAGCGCCATCTTTGTGAATAAACTGCTATTCGAGTTTAAAACAACTACATTCTCGCCTGAAAAACTGTTAACTTTATTTTGTGACACAGTTAAGGAGTATTTTTAAAACTGTACGGGTTTCCTCCGTCATTAGCGCTTACTGGTTACGCTGCAATGCATTCTGGGAGACCCGAGCTTCGCAAGTTCACACAAGTCACCTCTTGATGCATCCTTGGCCAAAGGGGCAGAGCAAGTACACATGCGGGAATTTCATCTGTACTTGGAAAGACATGAACTTTAGAATTGGAACAGTACTTTAACCCTTGTAACCGAACAGGCAACGGTTGATGGCGTTTCACGAGGACATAAGAGCGCAACTACAGACAAGAACGCATATTGAGAAACAGCCATTGTAACCGCGTGTCTTAACAACATGCTACTTCATGAGATTTGCAGTGATAAGCAATTTGGCAGTTTGCACCAGACAAAACACTACTGAAATTGAAATACAGCTATTTAGAAGCACAGAATATGTGCACTCACTGCACTCCAACAAAATGGAAAGATTTATAATCTAATTAATACATATTAAACCTTTAACATTATTAAATGTAGATGCTGAATCACTGATATGTGTAAGCTTGCACTGAGTCTCAGTTGTAAAGTTCAATTTCATGCTGTTGTTTTTATTTAGAACACAAGTTTAATCAGCCGTTAGGCTTGATAATCAGGCTCGCTCCTGTCAATCTGGCAACCTGCACTTGCTTGTGTTTTGAATCAGGTGTGCAATAACTAGTTTAACCACTGGGTGTCAAACTTGCATACTGCATTTTTAATAGCTAAGCACCAATAATAACTGACTTCTGATGAAATGTGTGACACTGAAGACAATGACTTTGCATCACAGGAATAACGTTTTTTTTATATATAAAAATAGAAAACATGTTTTAAATTCCTGATTATTTCAAAATGTTGACTTACAGTGTATGAATTCTTTCTTTTTGTCTAGGAAACGCTACAGACTATCCCAAAGTTTTGTTTCCCTTTTAATATGGACAGGTAATGTTACATGCAATCATTAATCTACCTGGCTTTTGAGGAATAGTTTCTTTTGCATTCTCAGAGCTGCTTATAAACTCTTTTTCTCTGTCCTGTCTTTCAGTATGGCCGTAGGTCAGGTGGGGCAGAACTTCACGTTTGTTCTAACAGATATCGACAGTAAACAGCGGTTTGGTTTCTGCCGCCTCTCATCAGGAGCTCACAGTTGCCACTGCATTCTCAGGTACAAACTTATGATTTTGAGAACCTTTTTTAGTTAAAGGGGTCCTATTATGCCTCTTACTCTTACTACTTTCAATATCAGTTATACTTTAACTAAACTTCTTTGAATGCCTCCATTGTTGTCCAGAGTTTTCTTCTCTGGACAAACAAACACATAATAAAATCACAAATTTAGCATGTCTACAGTTGACTCACTTTAAAAAAGGAAGTAAAGACGCTACATTAAATGCAACAAGCTAACTTCACTTAAAGGAAGTAAACGTGACATTAAAAGCAACAAGTTGACTTCACCTTAAGTAAGTAAATGCGTTACCAGGGCTCAAAATTAACCTTTTTGCTTGGTGGCACCAGTGCTCATAACTTAAAAAATTTAGGCGCATCAGCCAAAATTTAGTCGCACCCACCAATTATGAGCACCGTTACTACAAGTTTTTATGCAAACATATTTATTGTATTTGAAATCAACACTAATCAAACTAACAAGCAAAAAATAATAATATATGTATATGCAAGTGTGAGGAAAATATGTCTCAACAAAATCCCGTTATCACAAGAAAATACATTTTTATAACAGAACTGTGTGACCAAAGCATAGACGGAGCGCTCAAAAACCCTGCACGCACTGCTTGAATTAATCTGTTAACGGTATAACTGTGCTGTTCTCACAAGTGCTGTCTGATATTACACTGATGCTTTTGACACATACTGTACCTTATTATATGCATACGTCATGTTAATAGCCATACCGGTCTTTTTATGTGTAGCAATAATAGTTTACTCAATGTAAGCCCGTTTGCGATGGTGTACGTGGTGTTAAATTTGACATATAGCTGCCACTTGCACGGCAGACAGCATCTGGCGATTATATGAAGGATTAAACAGAAGCTCTCGTGCTAGATGTGGCAAACAGTTACCTGAAAAACTCCATCCCAAAGACTTTTCATAGCGGACTTGAAGCCAATGGAAGTCTTCTACTCTTGGAAAAGTGTAGATGGTGGATTAACATTCAGCACATGATCACTAGTAAGCTGTGTCATTATTTGTAACTTTAGATGCCATGGTTTCTAACTAAATCTAACTAAATCTGTCAGTGTTATCTTCATTCTCCTCTTCAGCGCTTTACAGTTTTTCGCGGTAGTAGCTCTCTCTGTCATCCGAAGCCAGAACTTGCTGTCTGGCTGATTGACAGCTGATATTAACCAGTCATTCGCGTTCAGTGCTAGAGCAGTGGTGGGCCAATAAGAAGAGCGCGAAGGTGGGGCAAGCATTACGGACTTGGATTTGTTTACTGCAGCAAGTTGACATGATAACTGTTTTAAACCATTCCTGAGCGCTGCGTTTCGCGTTCCAATTGCAGACAAAGCGCTTAAAGATGCATTCTGCGTGAATGTCTCCCGAATCCGCTCATGTGGTGAACATTTTGCAGTAAAAACTGGTCGCATCAATTTTAAGCACCTCACAGCAATGCTCCCAAATATATTTCAAGGTCGCATAGATAAAATTTCGGGCGCATATGCGACCAAAGTGGTCGCAATTTCGAGCCCTGGTTACATTAAAAGCAACAAATTGATTCTCTTAGGTAGTAAACACTTTTAAAGCAACAAGTTTACACATTGCATTGAAAGCAACATGTTGGCTTCACTTAAATTGAGACAAAATGTTATAAGGCTTTTGATGTTGTTGTGGTGGTTGTTTTTTATTGTTGTTGTTAATTTTAAGTATCGTTTTTAGTTTGAGTTTATATTTTTATTGAAATGGCCTTTAACATCTGTCAAAGGGGCCACCAATGAAAATTAGTCTTTGCGCAAATTTCACTACATTTACATTCTTGCGGAACGTTGTTTAATGTACTTACTCTTGTTGTGAAATAAATAAATGAATAAAATAAATTAAATAAATAACTTTGAACTGTTGACTAAATTTATATAATTATGCGCATATTTCATTTATTTTGTATAAGTTAGCAAACCGGGGCGAGGCAGTGGCGCAGTAGGTAGTGCTGTCGCCTCACAGCAAGAAGGTCGCTGGTTGAACCTCGGCTCAGTTGGCGTTTCTGTGTGGAGTTTGCATGTTCTCCCTGCCTTCGCGTGGGTTTCCTCCAGGTGCTCTGGTTTCCCCCACAGTCCAAAGACATGCGGTACAGGTGAATTGGGTTGGCTAAATTGTCCGTAGTGTATGAGTGTGTGTGTGTGAATGTGTGTGTGGATGATTCCCAGAGATGGGTTGCGGCTGGAAGGGCATCCGCTGCGTAAAAACTTGCTGGATAAGTTGGCGGTTCATTCCGCTTTGGCGACCCCAGATTAATAAAGGGACTAAGCCGACAAGAAAATGAATGAATGAATGAATGAATGAATGAAGTTAGCAAACCTGTTGTCTGAAAATTAATAAGTAATCAAATCTCATTGACATTGTAAGAGTTGTTTAACAGGTCTAATATACTGATACATGTGATTTCGTCCTGACTGTTTACATTCAGATGTTTTGTTTTTGTTGTTGGACTAAACTAGGCATGAGCTTTAAAGGCTCCTCCCTCTTCGTGGGATGGGGAACAGCAGCTCATTTGCATTTAAAGGGACACACACATTTTTTTTTTATTTTAACACCCAATAAAGGGGTGGCATGGTGACTCAGTGGTTGGCACTGTCGCCTCACAGCAAGAAGGTTAGTTGGCATTTCTCTGTGCTCCAGTTTCCCCCACAGTCCAAAGACATGCACTATAGGTGAACTGAATAAACTAAATGGGCCGTAGTGTATGAGTGTAAAGGAGTGTGTATGGATGTTTCCCAGTACTGGGTTGCAGCTGGAAGGACAGCTGCTGTGTAAAATATATGCTGGAATAGTTGGCGGTTCATTCCACTGTGGCGACCCCTGATGACTAACCTGAAGGAAAATGAATGAATGAACACCCAAAAAAGTAACATCCAGTATTGTATAATGAATTAAAATTGAGGTCATTTAAGCAGAAACTTTAGACACATTCTGGGGAAACATGACATTATAGGTCATAAAAGAACATCTCTATATGAAGCTATTTGCTCCATCCACTTTTCAGATCAGTTTAATCTAATTGTGGTCTAACTTTTTATTTTGATATCAGCTACTTGCCGTGGTTTGAGGTGTTTTACAAGCTGTTGAATATCCTGGCAGACTACACAACCAAAGGACAGGTCAGTGGAGCAGATATCAGCTCTTTAATGTCAATGTGTCGTCTACATACAAATGTACAAATTAAAGTATATGTGCTGATAAACATTTCTCACAGATTTCTTGCTTTATAATAATACTAAAATGACAATAACCTCTAAACACTTGTCTATAACCCAAAAATACAACTTTTTGAAGGTTCATTAATGACATGACCTTAATTTACTGAAGTGATTTTAGAATTTATAATGTCAAAGCTGAGCTGCTTACTGTTTTATTTTGCTTACTGTGTTTTTTTTCTACAGGACATTCAGTGGAGGGAGTTGTTAGAGTCTCTACATGTGTTAAACATCCCTGATCCTGGAGTGCCTGTGCATTTGAGTGTGGTAATATACAGGAAAACACACACCTATATCAATGTATATTTTTATAAACAATATGATATGAGACTATACCATTTATATCTATGTTCTATAGTCTGATACAAGATATATACCATATGTCACAATATTTGATATTTGGGGGATCAGACAAGATGTTGGATATTGTAAGATATTATCTTTGTCTTGTATTAAGCTTATTACATTTCTCTGTCTCTCTCTCTCTAGCATTTGTTTTTCACAGTGCCTGATCCAAGAGAATTACCCAGTATACCTGAAAATGTAAGTCACGTTTTCTCACAGTTTTTGTTGTCACGTTTTCACCTGGTATTAAGATGCATTTTTTAAAGTTCATCGCACCACAATTGGTCATTTGAGATGGATTAAAGGTCATGTGAAATTAAAACTAATTTATTTTAGGTCAGTATGTTATTCTTGAAGTTATCAATAATCTAATGTGCTGAAAAACAATGACAAAATTACCATTATAACAGAGGTGTCAAACTCATTTTAGCTCAGGGGCCACATGGAGGAAAATCTATTCCCAAGTGGGCCGGACCATTAAAATCACGGTATATATAACTAGAAACAACAACTTCAGATCGTTTTCTTTGTTTTTATGATCAACATAAAACTTAAAGTTGGAGCATGATGACAACACATTCTCACAGAAATTTATAACTTTTTGATTTAGTGGTTAATTCATATGGATTCGTATAATTTAGTATGATTTGCTTATCCACCAATGATGGCTGGGTTTAGGGATGTGGGTGCCACAGCTCCTTATTTATATTGTACATTTTCATACAACTGAACTTACACGAATTAGCCACATAATGTGAAATAGTTACGTTTCCTTGTGAGAACACCTCAGTGTGGTATGGCATAGATGTGGTCTTTCCCTCTTAGAAGGTTGTAAAAGTGATGCCAATTCAGGATTCTTTATCGCAGGGGTTCTCAACCTATTTCCACTTCGGTGCCACTGCTTTCTCTGATCAATTTTTGTAGGCCCACTTGTCTAAGTTTTTCTCTAAAATATTTGTATGAAATGCTCATGTAAACCTTTATTGATTATAAATATATGTATTATATATGTACAAATGTATCATATATATCTATGATACATTTAGTTTGCCTTGTATTATTTTCTATTATCAGCATTTTATAAAAAAAGTCATTTTATTTAAATGTAATTATATATAAAATGAAAACTATATATATATATATATATATATATATATATATATATATATATATACACACAGACACACACACACACACACACACTGATTAGGATGTTCACGTGTGTTTGATCAGTGTTGGTGCTAAACTACGCAGGACACCAGCCCTCCAGGACCGAGTTTGCCCACCCCTGCTTTAAATGGTTAAAGTCTGTGTGAACTGGAAGTTGCTGATGATTTTATGTCTCTGTGTCAATGTATTTCCAAATAAAATGGAATATTGAGTAGGAGGTGGGGCTTTCTTTTTGCGCATCATTCCCTCAAAGCAGATTAACAGTAAAAGGGGCGTGGTTAATAATATTGTGGCTGAAGCCATCAAACTGACATCAACAGAGAAGGACCACCACTCCAAACACGAAAGCAAATAGTCAGACTTTAAGGGAAGATTACTAAACAACTTTTCTTTTTTTTTTTTTTTTTTTTTTTCAGTGGGCACGGTTTAATTGTTCACCTAATAAATAACAGTGCGCACTAGCAAAATAAATATTATAAATTTTGGCTTTTAAGATGCCGTTTGCATCTTTATTTAGCGTCATCCGTTGATTTGTGATTCCCTGGGTTATTTTTCAGAGAAATCTGACAGAGTATTTCGTAGCAGTGGATGTGAATAACATGCTACATCTGTACGCTAGCATGCTGTACGAAAGACGAATCCTCATCAGCTGCAGCAAACTGAGCACTGTGAGCAATATCTCTACCTCTGTCTAGCTGGTCATTTCTTTCCTTGTTTTAAAGGTGTTATTAAGGGTTGTTATTATTATTCTCTCTCCTAGTTAACTGCATGTGTTCATGGCGCAGCAGCCATGTTGTATCCCATGTACTGGCAGCATGTTTACATTCCAGTCCTGCCACAGCACTTATTAGACTATTGCTGGTGAGTATGCACACATACATACACATGTAAAGAAATTCCTGTTTTTTAATTTATTTTTTTTTGTTAAACTACTTACTACCAATTTTACAGTTAATAAAGGCTTTACTTGTGAGACCTCATAAGTAGGCCCAATCTGCGCGCACAGAATTCCGCAGATTTTCCGCAGAATTCCGCAGATTTTCCGCAGATTTCTGCAGATTTTTAGCCCATCATTAATTCTGTTTATTTACTTGAGTAAATGTTTAAATCTGAATTTATTCAGTTTTTATTCAGTAATTTATTACTTTTTATTTAATATATTAAGGTCTTTGTTATGATATCCGTTGGGTACTCCCAAAATAATTCAGCAGAAATCCGCAGATTTTTACCAAAATTCTCAGCAGAAATAGCCAAAAACGTCCGCAGATTCCGTCTGGCCCTGCTCATAAGATGGAGTTATAATAAGAATATTTCTAATATATATCCATCCATCCGTCCATCTGTCCATCTATCTGTCCATCCATTCGTCCGTCCGTCAAGCTATCCAACCTTATATCCACCTGTATACACAATATTCCGTCTATTGACCTTTCTATCCATCTATCCACCTTTCTATCCATCCGTCCAACTGTATCTTCATCTGTCTGTCCATCTATCTATCCATCTGTATATCTACCTGTACAAAATCTTTTATCCATCGACCTTTCTATCCATCCATTTACCTTCCATCCTTCTGTCCAACTGTACATCCATCTGTCCGTCCGTCCGTCCATCCATCCATCCCAGGAAGCATTAATTTGTTTAACCCAAAATCCTGTAAAAGCAACATTGACAAATATTATGACTATTTAATCAAGAATTTTCCACTTTAAAATGTTTTAAAATGTTAATTATGTGGTGCAGAGCTAAATGTGCCATTAATATTTCCAAAATCTATCTAATAATTTCAGCATAATCTTCAGATGGATTTTAATTTAATGATTAACTACTCAAGAAAAATATTTAATGAATATAAATATTTATTAAGTTTTATTATTATTATTATTATTATTATTCATAATTCCATTTCATGTTCAAACTAAATTAAACGTATACAGTATTACAATAATAATAAAATAAATGTAACAAGTAATTAAAACAACAATAATAAAATTGTTATTACTCTTTTATTGTCTGAATTTGATTAGTAGAAGGTTAACATACACTCACCTGCCACTTTATTAGGAACTCCTTACTAGTACCAGGTTGGATCCCCTTTACCTTCAGAACTGCCTTAATCTTTCATGGCATAGATTTAACAAGGTACTGGAAGTATTAAGAGATTTTAGTCCATAATGACATAACAGAATTGTCAGCTGCACATCCATGATGCGAATCCACCACATCCCAAAGGTGCTCTATTGGATTGAGATCTGTTGACTGTGAAGGCCTTTTAAGAACAGTGAGCTCATTGACATGTTTAAGAAACCAGTCTCAGATGATTGATCGCATTATGACATGGTGCAAATGCATTGAGTTGCTGCCATGTAATAGGCTGATTAGAAATTTGCATTGAGCAGTTGGAGAGGTGTACCTAATAAAGTGGCCGCTGACTGCATATTTAAGGAATAAGAAAATGGAAAAAAAAGTGTGTATATATGTAAAAAAATGTATGTGTGTATATTTATCACACACTGATCATTAAAAGCAAAATAAATAAATATATTAAGAATAATTAGTATTTATTCACATAATTATTTGTTAGCATTTATCTGAAATAATAATAATAGATGTGACATAAATATACTGTACGTGTATGTAAATTTTATGAGGTGTACCAATGTGTGTGTTTTTCTGTTTCTTTTTTTTAGCGCTCCAATGCCGTACCTCATCGGAGTGCATTCCAGTCTAATGGAGGTGACCGATTGCTTTTATTTACACTTTCTTTTCTCCATATTTACATTTATCTGTGTCGCAGATTCATATTTGCTCCACCAAGTCAGTGTTTTTTAGTGTAGCCATATGTAGGCTGTACTTAGACTGTTGTGTGTCTGTGTTTGTGTGTGTTGTCGTAACAGAAGGTGCGAGGTATGGCTTTAGATGATGTGGTTCTTCTCAATGTAGACACAAACACTCTTGAAACGCCGTTTGATGACCTGCAAAGCCTTCCTAATGATGTGGTGAGTGAATAAACATAAACACACGATTAGTTTGAAAAGCCCGAGCTATTTCGGTCATGGTGTTGATTTTAATATGACAGACATGATCTGATGCAGAAATATATTTATGATGGTTACAGTCAAGTGATACTTGTGTGTATTTTATAGGTTTCATCTTTAAAGAACCGCCTAAGAAAAGTGTCTTCATCAACTGGAGATGGAGTGGCTCGAGCGTTTCTGAAGGCACAGGCGGCTTTGTTTGGGAGTTACAGAAACGCGCTACACATCGAACCGGTGAGAGACAGAGCCACTTTTTAGACACAGGATGATTGTGTTGCAGTTTGGGGAACTTCCATTCAAAGATCTGAAGCATTTTGAATACTGATGCACTATCATTATTCAATCCATAAACAGTTGAAGACATAATTCATTCATTCATTTTCTTTTCGACTTAGTCCCTTTATTAATCTGGGGTCGCCACAGTGGAATGAACCGCCAACTTATCCAGCATATGTTTTACGCAGCGGATGCCCTTCCAGCTGCAACCCATCTCTGGGAAACATCCATACACACACATTCACACACATACACTACGGACAATTTAGCCTACCCAATTCACCTATATTGCATGTCTTTGTACTGTGGGGGAAACCGGAGAACTTCGAGGAAAGTCACGCGAACGCAGGGAGAACATGCAAACTCCACACAGAAACGCCAACTGACCAGCGACCTTGCTGTGAGGCGACAGCACTACCTACTGCGCCACTGCGTCGCACTGAAGACAAAATTATTAATTAAAAATATGTTATTAGAAATGTATACACATTTAAAATACTTCCTAAGTGATGTTTTAACAGAGCAAATAATTGCTATAATATTTGTCTTCTGGTAATCCTTTTAGTTTGAAATACAAAATAAATCTAAAAGGTATAGAGCTCGGGTATCTACATCACAGCAAGTTGCAGTCGGACATGTTTGTGGAAAAAACGCATGAGCGCCCTTAATAATTGAACAAGTTTATCCGTAACTGACAGCACATCAGCGATTTGCCACAAGAAAACATCTTCATATATGATTTTGTATTGCTGATGAGTGTATAATGTAGATGATTTAAAAAAAAAATCAATAGAGATCAATGGGGATCAGGCAACCTTGACCTAAACACCAAGAATGCATTGCATTGCTTACGACACGTTCCCGAGCTCCATAGACGTCAATATTACTAGCCCTTAATAAATAACTTTGTTTAATTAATTTGTTTACACATTACATTTAAAAGTGTGTAAGAACGTGAGATCGTTTCCTTCACCTTTTTCAACTTGCTTTATGCTCTCATGGTTTTTAATACCTACAACTTAAAAGTGATTATATATCGAGTCAATTCTGGGGTGAACTATAAGCTGAATGCTACTATTTTGAAAAACTACTTGAAATATTTTTTATTGCCATCATTACAAAGAGAAAATGAATTGTAATTTTTATAAAATATTATGTTTAAAATCTCTCTAATGAACAGCACTTGGGAAATATTGAAGTTCTTTTGAGTGCACTGTGGTTTGTTTTTTCCAGATTATTTTTTGTTTTTATTCCTTACACTACAGTAATAATTAATATACGTTTTTAATATTGTATATGGTGGCAGGACTTGTTTTGTTTTATTCAAGGTCTGCTAAAGGAAGTTTTTTTTTGTTTAGTTTGTTGCCTTTTTATCAGTGCTGTGAATAATAGTTTTTATTTACACAATATATGCTTGCTATATATATTTATTATATATAATACACATAATACAATAATAATAATAATAATAATAATACAATACAATAATACAAATTCTATATAATTGTTTATGTAAAATTATTTTGTTTGGCATATTTTTGCATTTTATGTAGGTATTTATTAGTATTTTATTTTATATAAAAATATACTTGATGAACTTTAAATATACTTGACTATTTCTCAAATTTATACATGCACATGGGGTTTTATATATACATAATAAATGATTTGAGGGTTGTAAACAACATTATAGAAAACTGTGTGACAGTGTCCTCTAGTGGACGGTCTGTGTAAAATGCACAGGAATAAAGATGTGTGTTTTACCTTATATTCAGGAGGAGCCAATCACGTTCAGTGAGGAAACCTTCATCACACACCGGTCCAGCACAATGAGACAGTTTCTGCAGAACGCTATCCAGCTACAGTTCTTCAAACAGGTAATACACAAACATTTACCTACTTGTCTGAATGAGAGCAGAAAATACACATTTGTTTTTTTTATGTTTTTAATTAAAAATTCACTTTAAAATAAATTCTTTATTAGTTAATGTATGTACTAACATGAGCTAAGAATGAACAATCTTTTACACCATTTGTTGATAATAGTTCAGCATTTACTAATGCATTATTACAATCCATAGCTGTGCATGATAAGATTAATTAATGCACTGTGAGTTAACAAACCATTAATGGCTGTATTTTCATTAACTAATGATAACAAAGATGAATAAATACTGTAATAAAGTTTGTTCATGTTTATAAATACATTACCTAACATGAACTATTACAACCTTGTAAAGTGTTACCAATTTCACAACCAAACAACCAGAAGGACATTAAATAGAATGATTTTAAGAAATAATATATAAAATAACAAAAATATGAAAAAAACTACAATATTATGTCTGTTATAATAATATTTAATAATCTGTTATAATAAAATACTGCCTCTAGCTAGTCATGAGTTCATTCACTTCAACTGAAAGTCACAATGTTATTTTATCAAGTGTCACATTTGTCTTTCTCAAGGTGGAAGGCATCTGCATAAACATCGTTTTGTGTGTGTGTTCAGTTTATAGATGGTCGTCTGGAGCTGCTGAACTCTGGTGAAGGGTTCAGTGATCAGTTTGAGGAGGAGATCAACATGGGAGAATATGCTGGTAAGAGATACTATCATTTTTTCTGCATGCTTGCTGTAAAGATATTAAATACATGCTGATTGTTCTTAATGTCTGTTTTTGTCTCTGTTACAGGCAGTGATAAAACGTATCATCAGTGGCTTTTCACAGTGAAGGTGAAAGTCTTATTATATATATTTATTTTTTAACAAATGTGTGTGTTATGAGATCTTTCCCTCAGTCTCCTGAAGTCTTCTTCATCTTTTGAGTACAGAAAGGCAGCGGCGCAATTCTGAACACAGTGAAGACAAAGGCAAATCCTGCAATGAAGACAGTTTACAAATTTGTATGTATCCATTTGTGTATTTGTGTGTTCTTGTGTAATATTAATAAATTAATTTATTTTTGTTTTATTTTGTTAACTTTATTACTATTTAATTTATTAGTTCTTCCCATGTGAGCGAATTACCTCTTTGAAGTTTCTCTGTGATTTTATTGTTTGTTTGATAATTTATTTAAATTATTTACTTATTAATTTTGAATTCTTATTCATTTTTATTGAACTATTACAAAAAAATTAATTCTTATTATTTAATATTATTTAAAGATCGCACTATTATGTCTTTCTTTTCTTTTTCATTCCTTTAAAAAATGTTCTATCACAATTTAATCTGTTTTTAATAATTTTTATTTCATTATTTCTTTAATTCTTGTTTATGTAAAGCACTTTAAATTACCATTGTCTATGAAATGTGCTATATAAATAAACTTTCCTTGCCTAATTCAATGTACTTATTTTATATAATTTTTCATGGCTTGAATTGTAATTTAATTAAATTTTTATTTTAAATAAAATTTTTATATTTTTATATATTTTTGTATTTTAAATAATAATTTTTAACTTTGATTTTCAAATCTTTTTAGTTATTTTATGTAATTGTATATTTTTATTTATTAGTTTGAGCGAATTTTGTTTTATCAGTGTGAGTAAACAGCAACAATTTCAAAAGATTTAAATGTGCAGTTTATAAGCAAATCTCTCATCCTCTGCAGGCCAAAGACCATGCCAAGATGGGCATCAAAGAAGTCAAGAGTCGACTCAAACAAAAGGTACTCATTTCAGTAAATAAATCAATTATTTATAAGTACTGCATAAACACACACCCATTCACTGTCACTGAATCTCTTGCAGGAGCTTACAGAGAACGGCTACTCAGAAGAGCCCGGGCCCACTCAGCTTCCCTCCACACAGAGCAAAGACTCCCTCACCTGGGACCAGAGGCGGCCAATCACAGTTCACTTTGGGCAGGTGGGTAAAAGAGATGTTGTGAATTCTTGTTAGATTGAAAAAGTGTATTGTGATGATAAACATGCAGTCTTGTTTAATTTATTATTTTTTTTCTTTATTCTTTAATGCGATCCACTCTATAAAGTGTAAAAAGATAAATCTTAGGCAATTTGACTGGAGTGCTGTTTAACCTAGATTTTTCTTAAATGCCGTTTTCTCAACTCTGCAATATTAGTTGCATGTTTATTTTGTTATTGAGAGGAAAAACTGCTGCACATATTGACTAGGATGATCATACCTGCCAGTTGTACTGGACACTTCCTGACCAGGATTCATTTATATTACTTTGCTCTCCAAGATTCATGCTTAAAGGTAATTATTGAATAGTAGTTTGACCAATGACTTTCAGGCATTGTACTTATTCAAGCAATCATGGCGCTTGGAATGTGGGATCTAAACAGAATGTTCAAAGTAATGCAAATATGCATTTATACAGTAATTAGATGTGTTTGTTTGAAGAGATTGCTTTATGAAAACAAAATACCATGAGACTGATTCAAAAGTATAAGAAGCCATCTTATGGCATACAACACATATTTTTTGCCATTATATAGAAATCCTAAATGTGTCCTGTAAAATAAAATGTCAGGTATGGTCACCCTAATCTTTGCACACTCATCTAAACATGGCATAAAGCAGGGGCATGTTTGCTAACGGTATTAGCAGGTATTTGAAACTTCTAACCCTACATAAAGCACTTATAAAGCTTATAGTGTATCTGGGATGTATAAAAATGTATTGCACTTACCCTATTTATTTTATGTACTTTTTAAAAATTAATTAATTTTAAAAAGTACATAAAATAAAACTGGTTAGTAAAATGAAAAAAAAAAAAAAGTATTTATTTATTTTGGTCTTGGTTTAATCGCATCCAAAAAAAAGTTTGCTTTGACATAATTAAGTGTGTGTACTGTGTATATTTTATGTATATGTAAATACACACAGGCATGCATGTATTTGAGAACATGTTTATTTATTTTTCGATATAAAATATACGTGTATGTGATATAAATAATTTTAAATATCTGTGTAACAAAATAAACAAAATAGTTGTGTATAATTTTGTTTCTACGCATGTGTGTGTATATCACATATACATAATAAATAGATATAATACACATAATATGTCAAAAACTTTTATTTTGGATGCGATTAATCACGATTAATCTTTGTCCAGCATTTATTGATTGATTGTTTTTTTGCTACTTCTCAGTTTCTTGTTTTCTCTCTGGGATTTCTCATTGAAATGTCACATTTAATTACTATATAGTGTATTTTATTATAAAGTTTAATTAAGAATAAAAAATTATATAAGCCACTGTAATAACATATGCTGGATAAGTTGGCAGTTCATTCCGCTGTGGCGACCCCAGATTAATAAAGGGACTAAGCTGAAAATGAATGAATGAAAAAATTATATATTTCTTTTTTATTAATATTATTATTTCACATGGGTGTTTGATTTTATTGGTATTATATTTCAATCCTGGATGTGTCCTGTTAAAATGTCAGGTTGTTGTCATCCAAGTATTTGTGCACTTATCTAAATATGGCTTTCAGTAGTGGGATGTTTGCTCAAAAATCTTAATAATAAAAATTCAATTTATTTGTAAATGGTGCCTTTCTAGACACCCAAGGTCGCCTTACAATAAGCATCAACAGATATGCTCAAACAAATTAAACATTACTAAAAAAAATCTTGATTTCTCACTGGGATTTCTCATTAAAATTGATTTTTTTTTTTATTACTTAATTACTTCCAGGGCCATTTATACCGAAGTTGATATTTGATCACAGCATATTAATGTTTCGAAACATCTAGTTTTCATGAGGTGAGTTGCTAGCCCAACGCTCAACCCCCAATCTGGAGGATCAGGACATACACACATACACTACGGACAATGTAGCTTACTCAATTCACCTATAGCGCATGTCTTTGCACTGTGGGAAAATCCGGAGCACCTGGAGGAAACCCATGCCAACATGGGGAGAACATGCAAACTCCACATAGAAATGCCAACTGACCCAGCTGAGGCTCGAACCAGCGACCTTGCTGTGCTGTGCTGTGTTGCCCTATTTAATTATTACATGGTATATTTTATTCATTCATTTTCTTTTCGGCTTAGTCCCTTTAGTAATCCGGGGTAGCCACAGTGGAATGAACTGCCAACTTATGCAGCATATGTTTTACGCAGCGGATGCCCTTCCAGCTGTAACCCATCCCTGGGAAACATCCATACACTCTCATTCACACATATACACTATGGACAATTTAGCTTACCTAATTAACCTATAGTTCATGTCTTTGGACTTGTGGGGAAAACCCGAGCACCCGGAGGAAACTCACGTCAACACAGCTCAAACCAGTGTCCTTCTTGTTGCGAGGCGATCATGCTACCCACTGTGCCACCGTGACGCCTACATATTTTATTCTAACTAATATTATAATTTCACATTGGTGTTTGATTTTATTGGTATTATATAACATTCTGGATATGTCCTTTCAGGAATTGACTTGCTCAGCATCGGGATGTTTGCTAACAGTATAACCCCTAATTGGGTATTTCAGAGTTCTTTCTAAAACCTAAACAAAGGAGATTAACACCCTTGCCGTGAGTGTATTTGGGATTTTAGAGGGTGTTTAAAGGAACAATATTTACAGATAAGTGTGTGTGTGTGTGTGTGTGTGTGTGTGTGTGTGTGTGTGTGTGTGTGTGTGTGTGTGTGTGTGTGCGTGCGCGCACAGAATGAGCGGTCACCCTCTCCACGGCCCATGCGGCCACAGCGCCCTCCTCCACCCCATCCCTCCAAACTACAGCGCAGCATACGACCAGTGAGTACAGCTCTCCTGCCTGACCTCTGACCTGAGCTCACCTGTGCCCTCTGGCCTGGCTGCTGCACTGGAGTGTGTTATATCTGTGTGTTCTGACGGGAGTCTGTGTGTGTGCGCATGTGTGTGATCTACAGATTAATACTCGCTCACATACATGGATGAGCTTGTTGTGTGTTTTCACTTGTCTTCCTACCACACAAAACAACTGTTTTCCTCTGGTTTCAGTCTCTTCTGGGCTTAAGTCAAGTTTAATTGTCTGTTTTTATATGTACATTTGGTTTAGGGTTGTCACGATTCTGGAATTCGATACCAGTCGATTAGTGAAATTTTAAAAACAACTATTTTCCGCTAACATTTGAGCTCTGTTGAACACGTTCTTAAACAGAGCTGATTTGCCATTGTGTTCACATGCTCAACAGGATTGACTGTAATTGGCCGTGAAGGTCATCAGTTTACCAAACTCACCACTGTTTACTAATCACAACCACAGATACAGGGACACTGGAGCGTTTTAAAGTCACGTTGATCAGCTGGTTTGTCTATAAGCTGAAATTTGAGCGAGCTTTAAAACACTCCAGTGTCCCTGTATCTGCGGTTACAGAGTAAACAGCAGTGAGTTCGGTGAACCGAAGACCTTCAAAGCCAATCACAGTCATTTCTGTTGAGCGCGTGAATACAATGGTTAAAAACGCGCTCAACAGCGCTCAAATGTTTGAATTTTCAAATTTCAGTACCGATTGGTTTTGAATTCCAGTATCGTGACCCTAGTTCGGTCATCTGTACAGTGTGCATAACACAATTTAGCTTTAAATGCGTACAAAACATTTGGAGATAAAAAGCTCAGGATGAATCTATGTAGTGTTCTTAATGTCTAGTGGAGTATAGCTTTAATTGTGTACTTTTACTACATAGTTTTTTTGCCTCTGAGTGCTTATTTTTGTTTTTGTGCGTTTCCGAAAACCATTGTCAGCCAACTAAAGTTGCAAGTCCTGTCGTTACAAACATAGTTTGTTGATTTGGCGTTTCCATCGTTCCAACGAACATTTGCAAGCTGTGTCGCAAACTTGTACGCTTGCAACTACACCTCTAGAGTTGTAGTTAGTAGCATAGTCCCTGGTTGTGTTCTATTCCATTATCCCCCATGCCCTATTCATTCTAACCTTTAAACTTGAAATGATTACAAACATAGTTTGTTACAAACATAGTTAGTTGATTTGGCGTTTTTCCAAATCCGTCGTTCCAAGAAACATTTGCAGAGTGCGTCACGAACTTGTACGCTTGCAACTAGACCTCTAGAGTTGTAGTTAGAGGCATAGTTCCTGGCTGTGTTCTATTTCCAGTTATTTCTTCTATGTTTTATTCCTTTTGAAAGTTCCAATATTTAATTTGAAATGATTTTAAAATAAAAAAACAAACAAACAAAAAAAAAAAAACATTAAGGTCATCTCTCTTATTTGTTATTTGCTTTCAAAGTATTTTTACAGTTCAGTTTTAGTGATCTTCGTATTGACAATTGAACATTTCTGCAGTGGCTTGAATGTGTCAAAGCTGTAAAAGTAAACTTTTCAAAAAATAAATAAACAATATTCTACATAATTCTAATAAATTAATAATAAAAAATACTACTACTACTAAATAATTATTATTAAGCATGATTTTTTTATTTCTTAATAAATAGCCTACTGTAAATTACAACCATTAATCTTTTATTGGCTTTATATATGAGATTAAAATATATGTTAGCTTTTGTAAGTGGTTTAATGTTTTAGAATGGAATATGGAATATTCTCTATAATATTTGTAAAGGAAGCACAGGCCCTATACATTCCATTTACATATATTTCAATTAATATGGAAAACAAGTTTATTTTTTTCTCCAAAACTAGCCTAAAAATGGATTTAAAGAAAAAAATGTGTGTGCGTGTAAAACAATATAGATTGCACAAAAAAGTGTTTTTTCTTTTTCCTCTAAAGAAGTTTTTACTCCACCCACTTTAAAGGATCACTATGGATGTTTTATGTTATAACTAGCGTGGTTCAAACGATGGATCTGCGACAAAGCAGCTACGGTTTTGGGAAACACTCGTCCAGGGTTTCTGCAGGGTCTTAAAAAGTCTGTATTATTAAATGTATTAAATCATAAAAAAAAAAATTTTGGTAGGGCAAATAAAAATCTTTTCAGTCAGGGCCATTTGTCAAATTTCTTAACCTTTAGCCTTTTATGGGCCTAAAATTCATTCATAATGATCTTAAAAATGTCTTAAGTTTAATATGATGAAACCTGCAGATACCCAGTTGTCACTACATCGTTCTTTTCCCAAACAATGCATTGTACTATGGTAGTTCAGACTCGAGTTATGTTGTTATTTGGGAAACGCAGCCCTGGCTAGTTTCTTGACAAATATAACAGTGCAGGTATATATAAATTATTCAAGCAATTGGTTCAGAAAAGCTGATTCATTTAGACAAAAGTCCATGTTTCTGTCTTTATGAATGGGTCACTGAATCATTAACTAATTGATTCATTTAGGAGCAAAACACTGCAGTGTTGCTCTGAGATGCACACATGTTCTGCTCTGGATTTGTTTGAAACTTTTCTTTTACCTAAAGAAAAAGAAGACAGCATGTCTGAAATGTATATCGCTCAATATTACCTTCTTGTTTGTCAGCATCAGTCGTGATCACACTCGCGCAACACTTTTGGTTGTGTGATGTTGCTGATGTTATCATAATAAACAACAAAAACTCTTACAGGGATATTTTTTGCTTGACTTCTAGGGGCTTCTAACAGTTTGGGATGCTTTAAAGGGTGCTTTCCTTTGGCTGCCACTTTCCAGGTCTTACTTCTGTGTTTCTGTTTACATTTGACAGGATCTTGACCTCTAACCTTTGCTTTTCTAGCTGTTGACCTCTGTCCTAACAATGACTACAGTGGCATCTATAAAGATGTAACATATCCAGAATGTCCTTTTAAGACATTAGGATGGTGTTTAAAATATGCATTTGTGTGTGTGTTTGCAGGCTCGACCTCCTCGGCCATTGGTGGCAAAGAGACCTCGCAGTAACATTGGTGTAGAAGGAAGCCCTGAACAGTAAGACTTAAGAAATACTCGACCTTTCTCACACATGCTCTTGCAAAACACAAACAAATAGACAATTTAGTCTTTGTGCTTAAGCTGGTTTTGATTGCACGGCTTAGTGGAATTTTTTACTTAATTTTCCCAGCATTAAATTGTCTGAATTTGTTTTATGACTGCTAAATTTGTCCTTTCAAACAATGAACTGCTAAGAAGCACAAAGAGCTAGGTGTAAGAACTTGCTTTGTTGCAGCTATGCATGTGAAAAAAGTAGCTTGGGTTTCACATAGATGATAATAATACATTAGTTTAAGAGTTTGTACCGACATTTGGCAGAATGTTTAACTTTGTGATAAAACTAGTACGCAGAAACTCGGTGCATCACGGTGCATTGATGATGCTTTCTATATACAGTGTTATATTTTAGGGGGGAGGCTATAACATGCTGTCTGTATAAACACACAGACACACAGCACCACACTGTCTCTCATTCAAACACATACACAAACATAGACAGTACCAAAGAAACAAACACACACACGTGCACACACACACACACACACATACACACACACACACACACACACTTAAGCCCTCGCAACAGGGAGAGCTCGCGCTGAGCGAAGCAGAAAAACTAAAAAAAAACGGGAAAAAAAGCACTTTTCCGACGGTCCCTTACTGAGAGCTCCTCTCTCCCGGCTAAACATATATTGCGAGGGCTTAAACGGAGCAGTGCTGGTAATGTCGAGCGAAAAAAAAGAAAGACAGCTGTGAAACATAACCAGCTTTGTCTTTTTGTAGGAAACACACTTTAGATGTTTTTAGGGTAAGAGATTTTTGAGTTAATGCCGTCTATAACTGAATGTCAGGAAAACAAAATTAACTGAACTGCGCTCATTTCTGGCGCCCCCCTGGATGTACAGCGCCCTTACGCCCTATTCACACGGGGCATCAGCGTCAACGCTTCCCATTCACTTTGAATGGGTGACGTCAGGTGTTGTCGAACTGCATTGTGGATCCGTCGGCGCCGCTTCAGAAGCGTTCCTCGCTGCAGAAGTTGGGACCAGCTCAACTTTTCAAGCGCCGACGGAAGCGTCAGCCAATCAGATCGCTGTATGCAAATACACCAGCTCAGACAGTGGCCTATTGCTGACTGAGTTTCATTGGCTGACGCTTCTATGACGATCGTTTCAGCTCCAACTTCAGACACGCCCTCTGTCAAGCGTTGACGCTGAAGCCCCGTGTGAATAGGGCGTTAGCATATGCCTATGGTGCCTATGCCACGGGCCGGCCCTGAGTTGCCTGAGTGTTGTAAATAATCGCGCTCACCTCCCTCGCGACTAATCGCATAGAAGATAAATGACGTCAGTACATAATAACCGGTTATGATTATTACTGAACCGATACCTTATTGTCCGCATCTGCATCGCGGTGCACCGAAAAAACAATTAATTTTGACACCCCTAATATACATATAATGTTTCAGTTTACGATACTACAGATGCCTTGCTGATTGTACATTATACCCCTAAATACTTTGCATTATCTCTCAAATATCCATCAAATACAAATGGGAACAGTAACAATGTTGTGGTTTGGATTGTGATATTGCATGTCTCACTTGCTCTTTCCTTCTCTCCTTCACTCTTGTGTTCTCTCTCTCTCTTACACTGGGTGTGATCTGTGTGTTTGTGTGTGGCTACACTTAATACTTGGGTCTCTCTGTCTTTGCCAAATTGTGTTTATTCTTTCTTTTATGTTGCTGCTGTGCCTTTCTGTATGCGTGCGTGTTGACGCTGTAGTTACGTGCGTCCAACCCGTCACTATACAGTGTTTCTGTGCGAGGACTCCTCGGGTGATGAGCTGTCTCAGGATGACGACTCCATTGCTGCTTTTCCTGAACACTTCCTGCTTTCTGCTCCTTTTGAATGGTCTCTGTTCAAATAGTTTTCTTTTAATGTCTAGTGTTTCTTTGAAGTCTTCTAGTGAATAATTAATTGCCTTTTTATATGTTTTGCCCCAAAAAGAATTTGGACACATTAAGACCCAATCCCAATTCTGTTTACCCCTAGCCCTACACCTTCCCCTTGGGCCTTGAAACGGAGTGTGAAGGGGAAGGGCTTCAAATTTTACCCCTAAGAAATGGGACAGCACAACAACACCTGCACACATCATCATATGTCATTGCAATCTCTTTTACTTCATTTGAGCTCAACGACGGCGACTGCTCTAGTTATTCCAGTTGTGTTATTTTTTGGTATTTATCTTCAGGAAATCACTGAAGGCAACAATATCTTGTCATCTTAACAATAAAATGTGGAAATAAGCTCATAACTGAACTTTGCATTTACACCATGGCTATATTCATCAATGTAAACACACGAAAACAACATTAGCATTATACCAGACACTGTAATAAGCTAATTTCTGGCCACTAGACTTTTTTCACAGGGTATTCGAGTGTCGTATGTGAAAGTGTGTTGTTGGACAGAGTTATTATTATGGATGCAAAATTTAGTAGGTCCTTTTATCGTATTTTATGACAAAAGATACAAATTTGTGCATCTCCTTACATCTGTGTACAGCTATGCTGCTGTTGTAGATGGTGTATTCTGGGAAATTTTCGTACTCATTGGTTTCTAGTGTGGTCCTGAAAAATCTCCGTTTCAAGGAAGTTTCTTTATGCCTTCAAGCTAAAGAGAATTGGGATACCTCTACCCATTCAAATGAACGGGGAAGGGCTAAGGGGTAGAATTGGGTAGTGGGCCTAAATGCGACATATGGATGTCATTGAACTAGTTTAGTATATATTAAACCAAGTTTACTTTTTGACAGATTGTAGTTGTCAAATAAAGTTGAACATGACTACAGTAAAAGCTATTTGTTAGTATGAACTGGATTAACAATAAAATGGAGTACATCAAGGTTATGGTTCCTACCATTTTCCCAGCATTCTTCTAGACCAAGAGTAACCAACCTTTTTGAAACAGAGAGCGGCTTCTTATGTACCGATTAATGTGAAGGGCTACCAGTTTTATGCACACATCTCAAAAAACAAATTTGCTCAATTTATTTATAATTATATATTATAAGTAATAATGTGAAGGCACTGATCATGTTAATGATTTCTCACAATAGTTGTCAACAATAATTTAACATAATTTAAAGTAGGAAACAGATAAATATCAATATGCAACACTTTATTTCTATAAATTGTTGGAATATCTATCTCTATTCCATACGTGTTCAAGAGAAAAGGTCAGGAGAGGTTTTTCTTCAATGCCAAAAATCGTAACAATTTATTAGATACAAATGAATAATTCGATGACAGAGCTCTGGGTTACATTACCCCAATGCAATACAAGAATTACATTCAAGAGGTTCGCAACTAACATACATTTCCTGACTTCAGCATATATACACCACCTATTTTAACAGGTGGAGTTTTGGTGTAACGTCACTTGTCAGTCATTGTTCAGTCCTCCATTGGCCACACCTTCGACATACTTCCTCTTTTTCTACGAATTCTCTGCCCAACAACAAAGTATACATCTTTCTGTGTTCTGTGTTCAGTTTTAACACCTCTCTTCAGACAGGAAGTGTCTGCAGAGCTGAATTTAATTTTGGACCCGCATCTATCTACTTCTGCAAAAATGCTAATTAGTATGCACAGCACTCACCCACAACATTAGAAGTTCAGTTAATATATGACCCTTACATGACCAATACAAATAATTGTTTGATTAAAAGAAAAGAGACAAAAAATAATAAAAATGGTTCCTATTATTCAATAAAATCTCTGCAGTTATTTACATTTTTAAAATTTTAACTTCTACAATTTTTTCACTAGCCACTAAAATTTTTTAAGAAATCATGCACTACGTTGTTCCATGTTTGTACAGAATATCAATTGTGTAACATAAATCAACTTTCAGATTTTACTGAAATGATCCAAAAATTACCAAATATAAAGCATTTTTAACAGCCGACACCCTTCTAACCATTGTAGTTGCCCCAAGTTGGACATCAGAGGGAGTGTAGATTACATCTGTTCCTGTCTTTAAGCACAGTTTTGGGGTATACACATTTAGGTGTGATTAAAAAATAATAGCTATAAAAAGTTTTTGATGAAGCTTACTGGTAAGTGGCTATGGTGAGCTATTTTTAGAACAGGCCCGCGGACAACTCATGTGATCCTCGCGTGCGATCTGGTGTCCGCAGGCACGATGTTGGTGACCACTGTTTTATACATTGTTCCTGTATGCACCACTAAAAGGTTTGCATTTAGGCAAGGCAAGGCAAGTTTATTTATATAGCACATTTCATACACAGTGGCAATTCAAAGTGCTTTACGTAGACAAGAATAAAAGAAACAAGTAAAATAAAAACAAATGCTAAAAATTAGTTTGCATGAAAACAGGTAAAATGTAATATAAAAGAATGAAGAAGAAGAGAAAAACATAATAGTGCAATCTGTCAGACAGAGCACAGTGCTCATTCAGTAAAGGCACAGCTAAACAGGTGTGTTTTCAGTCTCGATTTGAATGTGCCTAATGTTGGAGCACATCTGATCATTTCTGGAAGCTGATTCCAGCAGCGGGGGGCATAGTGGCTGAAAGCTGATTCACCCTGCTTTGACTGAACCTCTTGGAACTTTAATTAAGAATTGAACAGTGTATTTAGTCTCCATTGGCAAAGTGTTGAACATTTTCTGATTGACAGCAAAGTGGTACAAAACCAGAAATTTTCATATAGTGCTGAGGTCACACTTGGGCCCAATCCCAATTCTACCCCTTAGCCCTTTTCTCTACCCCTATCCCTCTTTTTGTGCCCTCAGGTGAAGGGGTAGGGGTGTCTCAATTCTTTATAACTTGGTTAGAGAAGGTGTAGAAATAAGGGGAAGGGAAAGATAGCCCTTGAAACAGAGATTTTTCAGTACTACACTTGAAACCAAGGGGTATGAAAATTTCCCAGAATACACCATCCTACACTATAGTAAGGAGATGCACAAATTTGTATTTTTTGTCATTAGGATAAATTTTTACAACAAGCATATGTTTTAATATATTCATAACATCTGGTGACTGGGAATTACCTTTTTGAAGTGTGTGGTTAGGGGTGTAACGGTATGAATTTTTCACGGTATGATAATCGTCTAAAACAATACCACGGTTTGACGGTTTCGCGGTATACGGTATGTTACAAATGTTACAAAATAATAGAACAGTGAAGCAAATTTGACTTTTTCCAAATAATATATTTTTAGTTACTATAAACAACACCACTTACAATGAACAAATAAAAAATAAGAAAATAATAAATAATGTGTCAAAGTCCAAATAAAGTCCAAATAAACATGGTGCAAATCCTCAGTAAAAAATAGATATAAATATTTACTATACTATAAATAGTTACATAACGAAACTAGATTCAATATGGAACATCCTTAGGTTTTATGTGCCAGCATGGATATGGTTGTCTATGGATATGGATTTCGATATGGTTGTCTGCAATGCAGACTGACAAACCGCTGCATCTTCATTTGCGTCTTTTGAAAACAGCAAGAGCAGCAGTTCGTCTTTGCTGTGTCACTGTTTTGTCATGTTTCTGTGCTGCTGTGCATGCAAAAGTACTTAGTATGAGAATTATTTCATGCAAAACTTTTTTTTTTGCGTTTTATTTAGCCGCGCAGAAATGTATGCCTTTCTCTCATTCCGTGTTGTTCAAAAAGCTTGGTCCACAAACAAAAGCGAAACCTATGCTTATTGGTTGTGATATAGCGAGTTTGAACCAATCTGGGCATGGAGGAGGGACAATGCATCAATGTATCATGTCTGATTTGTCCGGAGACACAGTGACGAGCGTTTCTTTGTCAAATCAGCGTTGTCAAATGTTGATGACGTAACCGCACTGATTCCGATCTTTATGTTAACATGATACTGTTGCCTTCAGTGATTTCCTGAAGAACAATATAAAAAAATAATGCAACTGGAATAACTACAGCAGTCATGATCGTCAATCTCATATGTAGTAAGCGATCGCGATGACATATGATGACGTGTGCAGGTATTTTAGTGGTGTCTCATGTCGATAGAGGTCAAATTTGAAGCCCTTACCCTTCACAATCTGTTTTAGGGCAAAGGTGTTCAGTAGGTGTACAGAAATAGAATTGGGATTGGCCCTTGGTCGCTCTTGGTCACACAGATTGTTCAGTACAAAATCATAAAGATCAAACATTCATATTTAAGCATGTCGCAGATCCATGTCAGATATCTTGACATATCTAGACTTTTGCTAGACAATTGCAATGCTTCTCCTGTCAACCTCCATGTGTAGTATTAAAGTTATGCATATAATACAGGATTGTGCAGAGTATTTGATCATCAGTTTGTCCAAATGCTTTTTTGGGGCAGCTTTATGCTATTTTATTTGGCTATGCTGCAGCCTGTCAGATTTGTCTTTCATTTTGATTTGAATCCCTCTTAATGCATGCCTAGATTTCATGCATAAAATGCAGCTATTCACATAAAGTGACTTGATTATGTTGATCATATCCGCTTATTTCAGTAGCACTTCATCTAACATGAAAATTACAATGTGTGTCTGTGCTTGTTTGTGCATGTGTTGCGCGTTGCGTGTGCTTGATTGTCTGTTGTTGTGGCGTGGATGTTGTGTGCATACTTGTTTTTGTTTGTGTATGTGACTTAGGCCTCAGCCATACAGGTCTCTGAAAGAGGCAGAGCTTGTGGAAGAAGGTGTGGAGGTTGGGGAGCGATACCAAGGTAACACTGCTCCATCCAGTCCTGTGCTAGACAAATTCTCTGACCTGAGCCTGTTGCAGGATGCCTTCCGTAATCAACAGGGGAAACCAGAATGTCCAGAAATCACAAATACCACAAAACCCACTCACAGCACACACTCCATCCTCACATCTGCAAGAAGTTTGGAGGAGCTTCGAGCAGACCCACAAAATGTCAACTTCAACTACCAGGTTAGGCACTGTAATCCCTGAAAAGTTTTGGGAGCGACAGCTACAATTAAATGCATGAGAGGTTCCCTAGATTCCCAACCCTGTTCCTGAAGATACACCAAGATTAGACATTTTGAAACTCTGTTTGTAAGGACACCTGATTAAACACATCAGCTCATTAGTAGAGACTTCAAGACCTGACTCAATTGGGTTATATGGGAGACATCTAAATGTGTATTGCGTGTGTCTTCAGGATCAGATTTGAGAAACACTTTTCTAAAGAATTATTCTACTCAAATGTGGGGATTTCCCTTCTCTATCCTAAAAACTGTTTCAATTGTTTGTTCTCCAGCGGATGGAACTAAATGCTGGTGAGCGCACACGCACACTTCCCGTGCTTAAAACCACCAACCCATACAGCAAGCTCTGGAGTCAAAGGGAAGACCCATCCACCTTGCTTGGCCGGGAGTCACCATCCTGGGAGAGACCTCTTTCCGTTCCACCCTTAGAACCTTCTGATGTGCGCCCACCCAGCAAGGAGAGTTCAAATTCCTGTGCAGAGAAGACGGAAGGGGCTTGCATTACAATCCCTCGTCCCCAAGGTCGGAAAACACCAGAACCAGGTGCAGTGCTGGCTCCAGCGGTGACCCTGCTGCGCGGGGTTAGGCAGGCCTGTGACAAGGAAGGAGGAGTGTCTGCTGGAGGGCAGGAGTTTCGGCAGGCATTAAATATGTCTCCTCAAGCACAAACTCAGGTGGACCTGTTGAAGACCAATGAGCCAAACGAGGGACAGGAGCAGGACTTACTTAGCTTGTTGGATCCGTTGTGTGGAGCAACAAAGGATGAGGCCACACCATCCCTTTCTAAACCTCCTGTACCTCCTAGACCGAACCCCCCAAACCTTGCCAACTTTCCCCCTCCAGTGTCTATGAACCCTTTTACCCAACCACCGCAGTACCCACCTCAAAGGCACTATAGTCCTGTCGTCCCAGGTAACCCTTTCACCCCAGCCTTCATGAATCCCCCAGGTGCCAACTACTTCCCCGCCTCAGGCAGTCCATACGCAGTATTTAATCAGGCATCCACTGTGGGTGTGACCCCAACTGGAGGGGCGTGGCCCATTGGACGTGTTCTTCCAACCTCCAGCAGTAGTGGATCTCTTTCAACCCTCTTAGACTCATCTTCTCCGGCTACTTTGTCACAGCCTGTGCAAGTCTCCACAGATGCACCCAGTGACCCATTCAGTGACCTTCTTACCATGGCAACTACACCAACAATAATGGCCACGCCCCCCAAAAAGAAGGTGGAGGACTTGCGGAGAAGGTGGGAAACTTTCGACTAGCTCTACCCACAATTTTCCTCTACTGCTGCTACCAACCAGTGAGGGAGTACACATTTATAGCCAGTGGGTATTTAAGACTGCGCCCCCTAGGGGCCTGAAAGCACTGTTGGACATTTCCCCCTCCCCAGAGTGTGTTGTGCTTTTTTTTGCGCCTAGCTCACACACTTAGCCTTATGCACACTGATGCTATTGAAGCATTTCCCATAACAACAGGATGAACCATGTTGCTCCAAAAGTTTTACACTGAAACACTATATTAGTAAGATAACACTGTATTTTCTGTAGCTAGCAGCGTAGTTCCCAAAGGAATCAGACTACAGTACTAAAGATACCATAGAGTAATGTCCCAAATTCTACCATTAGCAATTAGACTGACATTATTGCCATTATGGCGGTACTTGCACATCATTTCAGTGCTGTTTTAATTAGCTTGCTTTTTTTTAACCCTAGGCTCATTAATTCAAACCATTGTACTCTTACATTCACATTCTTGTACAAACCATTGTTAAATTGGCATTCATAATGCACTCGAATACATTTATTGCGCAGACTACATATTCCACTCTAAAATACACATTACATACGACAAGTAGGGATTGTGATATCTGGTGTGTACTTCATATTTGCACTACATAACTTATGACCTACTACAATGCATACTGGACTACATGTTCCCTAGTTCAAGCTATATATACTACTCGCTATATACTACAGAATGTTAGCGCTCAGAACGGGTCAAAGTAACCTGCCCTGTAGCAGAACAAAACACTGCCCCCTTGAGGTCTGGATTGAGATATTTTCCGACAAAAAATTTAAGTAAACTGGTCAAGAGTGTGTTTAGGGGGTTTTAATTTAAAAACGTGTTAAACGCCCTCACTGGTCCCAGCTTTACCTCTGGTTTTACTTGCCTATGTGTCAGTCTGAAAGTATTCGATTTGGTCTTCTGGAACAGGGTTCACAGTAGTTTAGTTGAAATGCTTATCGTCCACTTGCTTTGATTAGACTTGTATTTTGAAATCTCCTTTTATTCCGTGCATCACATGATAGACTTACAGCTTTCATAAAGCGACGGCATCTTTCTTTTTAGCACTACCATTTTCCATCGACTCTGCTACTGCCATGCACTCTGCATTATGGCTTTTTATTCTAATAGAGCTGTTTTGTGCTTTTTAAACATACATACTGCTATAAAGTGTTAAAGTGAATCCTAACAGCTAACGGCTGGTATTCTTGGCATAGACTGTGCCTGTTTATTGGGATTAGTTCAGCACTATACACAACTGGTGTTGCAGGATCTTTGCTTGATGCCATTTTCTTTGCTATATTTCTGTCCGAGACTTGCAAGTAGAAGAACACTGTTTGTGCAGATCTTGACATGGAAATGAATTGTGTACAACCAAACACTCAAATCCAAAAGAAACATGTTTTTTTTGTTGTCCATGTCAGGGAGCATCAGGGAGTGAATTGGTGTCTCTACTCTGGTTTATTGTCGTATTTAAAGATGAAATAATGTTATTTGTGTTATTAAAGTGTTCTTGAACATATGTATACCCCGTAGAGCTGTTAGAAAGATGACATTTCCTATTAGTTTTTCCGTTTAGATCACCTTTCAAAATGGGCCTTAAATGAGTGTGTGTGTGTGTGTGTGTGTGTGTGTGTGTGTGTGTGTGTGTGTGTGTGTGTGTGTGTGTGTGTGTGTCAGTTGGTTTTGTATTTCTAGTCTTACAGCATGGGTTGTTATGATGTTTTGGTTACATTTTTGTCTTAACGTTCAAACCGATTTCTGCATTTTTGACATGGGCTGTTAGGTTGGTACAGCAGTCACTTTCTTGGTCAATAATTCATACTGAAATTTTAATAAGAAAACAGAAGCTACTACACTAGCGCAAAATGTCCGCTAACGTTTAGGTTGGATAAACACAAAGCTTCAAATGTTTCACACAAGTATATCAAGTTCTACTTCAAAAACGACAAAGGTAGACTTGGAAGGGTCCTGTAAAGGGTAATATTGAAATTAATCTGTGAAAAGTATCTTTATAATTCTGACTGCATTGGAAAAAGTGTTGTTTTTTTTTGTTTTAAAAGTGTCAGATGAACCGAAGCTGTGATATTGCCCTTGGCAAACATGATACCACTCAACGTTGGATCAAAATATGGACAACCCCAACTGTTGGGTATAAAATATATAAGTTAAATAAGTTAAGAATATATGTTAAATAAATTTTTTTTTTTTTAAATATAACCCAGCAGTTGGGGTTGTCCATAATTGACCCAACATTTGGTTAATACAGCCCAGCGTTGTTTAAAGCAGTGTTTCCCTAACCCTGTCCTTAAAGGCACACTGACAGTACATATTTTGGATGGCTCCCTTATCTGACCCATTAACTGCATGTTTGATTAGGGAGAGGTTAAAACATGTACTGTTGGTGTGCCTTCAGGAACAGGGTTGGTTTAAAGCAAAGGTTGTTCAGTGTAAAGTACATGACATGTATGGGTTGAACAAGCTTTGAAAGTATTGCTAGCATGGATTCAACAAACATTATAGAATCTGCTGTGTTTTGACCACATGCTTTCGGATTTGGTTTCGTCAGTTGGAATAGTAAGCAAGGTGGTGGTATTATCAAAATGATTTTTTTTTTTTTTGTATGTGTAAAAATACAAATTTCTCTTTGAATGTATCCTAATGTGAACTCATATCCTGTTTATTATCATCTTGCACTTTCTGATTTTTATTTGGAGGTTATTATTTGTGTTTGCCATAATTAAAAAGCACAGTATATTCCTGTGAAAGTGGTGAGCTGGAAATTTGTTTTGCTGCCATTTGTATATTATGAAGCCTTGTCATTCTCCCGGTGGTTATAGGAATACCCAATTAACCTTCTGCTTTCCCTTTTGAAGCTAATAAGGGAGTAACTGAAACTGCAGTTCATCGAAATTTAGCAAGGCCTGGCTCCATAATAGAGCACATTTCTATTGACCCCAATGTTAAAATGGCCAACTTTACAGCAGAAAAAAAAGTTTACAGTTTGCATTATATAAGTGAATGGCCATGCCGCTGAACTCGACATATACAGTTGAAGAATTATACATATACAGCCCCTGAATTATTAGACCGCTTGTTTATTTTTTCCCCAATTTCTGTTTAAAGGAGAGAACATTTTTTCAACACATTTCTAAACATAATAGTTTTAATAACTCATTTCTAATAACTGATTCATTTTATCTTTGCCATCACCACAGTAAATAATATTTTACTAGATATTTTTCAAGACACTTCTATACAGTTAATGTGTCATTTAAAGGCTTAACTAAAACTTTAAAATATAGCTTAAAGGGGCTAATAATTTTGTCCCTAAAATAGTGTTTAAAAAATTCAAAACAGCTTTTATTCTAGCCGAAATAAAACAAATGAGACTTTTTGAAGAAGAAAAAATATTATCAGACATACTGTGAAAATTTCCTCGCTCTGTTAAACATCATTTGGGAAATATTTAAAAAAGAAGAAAAAAATTTAAAGGGGGCTAATTATTCTGACTTCAACTGTACATCGTATTTTTGTTTTGTTTTTATGGGGCTTTACACAGTCAGTTGCCTTTTGGAATTATTTCCTACGATTATCAGATAATATGGCATGCTGTGTGCTCTTAATTGTGATTACAAACCATTCAAGTGGCCTCCGTTTCCCAGGTGAGTAAAATTATTCCACATATTATACCATATCTTTAGAACTTGAATGCACTCCAGAATTGATTAGCTGTAGGCTCTAGAACAGTCATCTGAATTGATGTCATACAGTGTTATGGCCTGGATTTCATAATTAGCCTTGCTTTTACTATCATAGGCTATGTATATTGAAGTATTTGCAAGTAACTCATGTTTTCTTTTTATGGCCCAGCCATAGACCTGACCTAAACCCAATTGAGCTTCTCTGGAGAGACCTAAAAATGGCTGTCCACCAACGTTTACCATCCAACCTGACAGAACGGGAGAATATCTGCAAGGAGGAATGCCCAAATCCAGGTGTGAAAAACTTGTTGCATCTTTCCCAAAAAGACTCATGTATTAGATCAAAAGGGTGCTTCTACTAAATACCGAGCAAAGGGACTGATTATTTAGGACGGTGTGATATTTCAGGTTTTCTTTTTTTTTTTTTAAATCTGCAAAAATGTTAACATTTCTTTTGTTTTTCTGTCAATATGGGGTGCTGTGTGTACATTAAGGAAAAATGAACTTAAACGATTTTAGCAAATGGCTGCAAAATAACAAAGAGTGAAAAATTTAAGGGGATCTGAATACTTTCCATACTTACCTCAATGTGTAATGTGGGTCATTAAAAAAATGAAGCACCCCATATTGACAGAAAAACAAACAATATATATATATATATATATATATATATATATATATATATATATATATATATATATATATATATATATATATATATATATATATATATATATTTATAATAAATATTTATTAAAAAAAGAAAACCTGAAATATCACACCATCTGAAGTATTCAGACCCTTTGCTCTGTGTTTAGTAGAAGCACCCTTTTGATCTAATACAGCCATGAGTCTTGGCTGTCATGAGTCTTGGAGAAAGACACCAAGTTTCTCACAGCTGGATTTGGGCATTCCTCTTTGCAGATATTCTCCAGTTCTGTCAGGTTGGATGGTAAGTGTTGGTGGACAGCCATTTTTAGGTCCCTCCAAAGAAGCTGAATTGGGTTTAGGTCAGGGCTATAGCTGGGCCATTCCCCGTAAAAAATTAACCTTAATGATTTTAGCAAATGGCTGCATTATAACAAAGAGTGAAAAAGTTAAGGGGGTCTGGATACTTTATGTCCCACCATTATACCCACTGTATGTCCCACCATTGCTGTTTTGATCAAATACTGGATTAAAACACTAATAGATATGCTCATGATGTTATGATTTTCACTTTTTTAAAATGTAGTTTAAACATCGTAAAATGGTATTCAAATCTAATTTCAGAACTTTGCATTTTCAGGCTTGCCGAATGCAGCTGTTTTGCAAATTAACTGCCAATATGAATAAAAAGTTTTGCGTTTTGTTACCAAAAAATTTTAAATAAATGATAAGTAGTGCTGGGCAATAGGCCTATGACTAAATTGGAATCTCGATAATTATTTTCCATATTAAACGATAATGATATATGTTTTGATGTAGGTTTTCAATGCCTCCAGATTTAAAAGAGTAACTTAAGCCACAAAAATTAAAGCGTCCATTAATTAGCATAACACATTTTGGCAGTTAAATTCTCGATGGCTGACAATTCAGTAAATCTCTAATATCAACACAATTTTCGATTCTCATTGTTGCTCATTCCTGCTGTGTGATTGGCTTAGATTAATACAGAGTAGAAAAGTCCAGCGCTTACCATTGTTATTGACATCCATTTTATTGCAGTTCGATATAATATCGTTTATCAGCCCAGCCCTAATAATAATTAAAAGATAATGTGATTTAAACCACAACCAAGTAAAAATAACAATCCACACAATTTTTACACATTTAAACACAAACACGTTTATTTTACAGACATATATACATTCCAAAAATATTCCTAATTGACGTTGTAGTCCACAATGTACTGTATAGATTTCTGTCACTCCTATGCATGCATTTAAAGTAAAACAGACTGATATGTGACGGATGAGAAAACACAACTTATAATCACAATTTACAAAATATACACGACTGAGCACGCTCAGTTTTTACAGCATTTAGGCATTAGCAAGGGTTTGTTTTTAAGTTTGTCTCTCATCTCTTTTTTCCATTGTCACGCAGGCTATATTGTATTTCCCCGTGCATGTACGCTGAGGTAAGTGTGTAGAAATGGTGGTGGGTTACATTGATGTATGTTATTAGTAGTATCGCTGGTGTATAGTCAAACATTCCTAAAAAACATTCACATGTGTTGATTGTCAAACAGTATCAAGATCACAGTTTTTTTTCCCCCAATAATAGACTCAAACGAAGACAAAAGGTATGCTGCAATCACATTTTGTTGAAACTAGCTTAATTCTAAGTCAACTGGTCAGATAACGTCAGGTGTCAACGCAATCTCACGGCAATTCGTAACTTTTTGATTTAGTCGTTAATTCCTATGAATTTGTATGATCTAATTCATACCATTTAGTACGATTTGCTCATTACCCAATGACGGTTGGGGTTAGGAGTGGGGTTAGGTGCCACATCTCTTTTTCAAAATCTTATATTTTCATACGACTGAACTCCTGAATTAGCCACTAAACTGACAAAACGTAAAATACTTAAGTTTCCTCGTGAGATCAGGCTGTTTAAGCATAAAAGTAAAACATTTGCTGTCATAGGTTTTGAAAAGGTTTTAAACTTTAAGATTTAAGATAGAATGTTGCTAGCATGTTGTTGACCTGTTTCTCCATGTTGCTGTTATGCTAGTAACATGTTTTAGCACATTGCTAGCATGTTTGTTGTGTAGCAAATTGTTCACATGCTGCTATTTTACCAAGGTAGCATATCCATAGTAAGTTTAGCTATGTTAGCATGTTAGCAAACTACAATGCAGCACGTTGTTAGTGTATGTTGCATGTTTTACCTTATTGTTGAGGTTTTGAGCACACTGACATTGATTTAACGATTGGTTAGCTTCTTATAGCATATTAACAAGTCCTAGGCTAGTGTTTTGACTTTTTAATTAGTGATTTTTTTTTCCAAATCATATTTTTTATGAAAACCATAAGTGTCCCACCAGTTATATAAGACGTAGAGTTGAAGTCAGAATTATTAGCCCCCCTGTTAATTTTTTTCCCCAAGTTTTGTTTAACGAAGAGATTTTTTTTCAGCACATTTCTAATCATAATAGTTTTAATAACTCATTTCTAATAACTGATTTATTTTATCTTTGCCATGATGACAGTAAATAATATTTGACTAGAAATTTTTCAAGACACTTCTATACATCTTACAGCTACATTTAAAGGCTTAACTGGGTTAATTAGGTTAACTAGACCGGCTAGGGTAATTAGGCAAGTTATTGTATAACAGTGGTTTGTTCTGTAGACTATCCAAAAAAAAAAAAAAAATTAGCTTAAAAAGGCAAACAATCTTGTCCCTAAAGTGGTTTAAAAAAAAAAAAAAAAAAAAAACTGCTTTTACTCTAGCCAAAATAAAACAAACAAGACTTTCTCCAGAATGAAAAAATATTATTAGACATACTGTAAAAATTTCCTTGCTCTGTTAAACATTATTTGGGAAATATTTAAAAAAGAAAAAAAATTTAAAGGCAGGGCTATTAATTCTGACTTCAGCTGTATATATAACAGTCTGTAGGTCTGGCCCGAGTTTTAGTTTTTGCTCTTAGAGCTTTTTACCAAACATAGGTAGCAATATTGCATATGAAAATACACTATCCAAGTTATAGGAACAACAAATAATAGCTTCTTGACTTCCAGTTGATCGTTTGGTATCAGAAGTGGCTTATATGAAAGGCAAATGTCTCTAGATTACACTTATTTTACTAAAATAAAATATGATCATGCCTTGAGGTCAGTCTTTGCTCAGACAAAAGACTTGTCACCTAACAGAAATAATGTCCAGTATAGAATTAAAAGTCATGCTGCAGTGGAAAAAGAATGAATAATGTGTACGACTCCCATGAGCTTGGAGGACTGCATCCATACATCATACATCTCTGCAATGACTCAAATTACTTATTAGTAAAGTCATCTTAAATGGCAAAGAAAGCGTTCTTGCAGGACTTACAGAGTTCATCAAGATTCTTTGGATCCATCTTCAATGCCTCCTCCATCTAACTCCAATAATGTTCATGTTGGGTGACTGGGCTGGCCAATCCTGGAGCACATTGACCTTCTTTGCTTTCAGGAACTTTGATGTAGAAGCTGAAGCATGAGAAGGAGCGCTATCCTGCTGAAGAATTTGCCCTCTCCTGTGGTTTGTAATATAATAGGCAGCACAAATGTCTTGATACGTCAGGCTGTCGATGTTGCCATCCACTCTGCAGATCTCTCGCACGCCCCCATAATAAATATAACCCCAAACCACGATTTTTCCTTCATTAAACTTGATTGTTTTCAGTGAGAATCTTGGGTCCATGCGGGTTCTGCAGTGTTTGTGATAATTGGGATGCAGTTCAACAGATGATTCATCAAATCGACCGAAATATCAATCGAAATATCGACCGTCTGCCACTTTTCCAAATGATCATCTAGAAATCAAGTTATTTGTTGCTCTTACATCTGGGATTGACAAGAAGACTTTTTCAGGTAGTGTACGTAAACAGTTTTTAGTAATTTGAAATCGGTTTTTCTGACACCATGTGATTGCAACTGTGCCGTAGACAAAACAGCAATGCCCATATTTCTTTTAAAGAAAGCACATTATTACTATTGAAGTTACTAACTTCAGTTGTACCCCTCCTCTGCAAAAGTTAATGGCTAATTTTTCCCATAAGCCACATTCGTCTGTTTTGATTATCATATCCAGTGTAGCCTACAGCAGGAACAGTAGCTAGTTAGCACAACAGTCTTGCTATGGGTATTATAGCTTGTACATTCAAATATTGTTCAATAACACTATTTTCAGTTGCTCGTTTTTGAGAGGGTTTTGTTGCTGGGAGAAAGTAAACAAATTTTTTTCCACCTCTTTACAGTATGACACTTTGTCAGAGCTGTTAAGGCATATAATGCCATGAGGTAAATCATCACCAAGTCCAATGTCATCTGGAAGAGTTTCTGGTTAACATCCACAGTCATATAATGACAGTTAATTCATATTAAATTCATTCCCATTTTCCAATTTCAAGTTTCCTCTCGCAGTGCACTTTCAGGTTGCTTGTTTGATGTTCTCGTTGTGGCTCCATAATGCCACATCGTCTTGGAAAAGTCAATAATATTAAAGCCTCTGCATTTTATCTCATATTAACCGTTCTTCTGGTGGTACTTTCAGCATGCTGTCCATCTCCAGACGTGCACCAGCAACTTCCTGATGACTTGGGGAATAAGTTCCTTCCGACTGCCGCTTCTTTCGTGCAGTCATTAACATGAAAATGAGACCAATGGCCACTAAGAGGATACAGCCACAAGCCAATGGAACCGCTATCGCCAGCCATGGTATATGATCTTGCTGTGCTTGTTTCTGTAGAGAGAGGATCAAATTGTTAAAGTAACTCTCAACACTTCTAAACTGGCGTGCTTCTTATTTGTACCTACATTTGTTTCACAGAACTGGCCACTGAATCCTGCGGGACACAAACACTGAAAGCGGTTGAGGCGATCCAGACACGATCCACCATTTAGACAAGGGCTAGAAGCACACTCATCGATTTCTCTCTCACATCTGTGGAAAAAATATGCATAGAAACATGCAGATAAACACTTGGTCACCAATATTTGTACATTTAGTTATCAAGATAACTTAGGTCAGGGGTGTCCAAACTCGGTCCTGGAGGGCCAGTGTCCTGCATCTTTTAGCTCCAACCCCAATTAAACACACCTGAACCAGCTAATCAAGCTCTTTCTAGGTATACTAGAAACTTCCAGGGAGGTGTGTTGAAGGAAGTTGGAGCTAAAGTCTTCAGGACACCGGCCCTCCAGGACCGAGTTTGTACACCCCTGACTTAGATCAAGTAACATATATCAAGTTATATTGTAGAGCAGGGGTGTCAAACTCAGTTCCTGGAGGGCAGCAGCCTTGCAGAAATTAATTTTAGCCCTGAATCTACAAACTTTCCTACAGGTTTCAAACAAGCCTAAAGGCTTCAATTAGTTTGATCAGGTGTGTTTAATTAGTTTTGGAACTAAAATGTGCAGAGGTGCGGCCCTCCAGGAACTGAATTTGACACTTGTTGTCGAATGTAGATCTTATAAAGCAGGGGTGGCCAACCCTGTTCCTGGAGAGCCACCTTCCTGCAGATTTTAGCTGCTTCCCATATCAAACACACCTGAACCAATTAATTAGGACCTGAACACCACATGATAATTACAGGCAGGTGTGGTTGATATGGGTTGCAACTGAAAGCTGCAGGAAGGTGGCTCTCCAGGAACAGGGTTGGCCACCATAAGTGTTATTATTTCTACCTTTCTCCGGTGAATCCTGGAGGACAGGTGCAGTTTGCCCCCCACGGAGTGTCATGGCAAACACCATCATTTTCACATTCAACATCCAGGGCACACTTTAGTGGTGGGTAGTTGTATCTGATGCACAAAACACACACACACACACACACACACAAACACTCGATAAGCACCTAATACTTGACCAGTCCCAGACAAAGATGTAGTCTTGTTAAGAAATGGGTGTTTACAATGCAAATATGGGATGGTATTATCACTCATGTTTACAATTGCAAGCAGGTTTGTATACAGTTGTCTCATTGACTTTATAATACTCTGTACTTGTATTAACAGAGTTTAGGGTACATCTTCTGTAAAGCCACTTTTCAATTGCATAGTAGAATTCGGCACGGGTCGGCTTATTTTTGGTTCAGTTTCACTCTGTTCAGTTTGCATTTGCACTCCAGTTTATTAACATGTAAAGTGGGTGAGACTATTGCTATAGTTGCACAATTGGAAATGTGTTTTGAGCAGTAGCTGCTGCAGAATATTTAAATATAGTAGGTTTGGTGTCTTGTGTCGCAAATCTAATTATGCTGACAGTGATAATTTTCTCAGACCATTGCTAATCAGATTGTTAATGGCCTCACCCGAGGTAGTGCCAATTAAAAGTTACAGCTACTAGGTATGGAATGATGTGGGAAAACCCCCTTAAAATAAATCTGAACCATGCAGGGGAAAAGTGTATTAAGTTACCATTAGACAAATCTACTTACTGACAACGTGTTCCGCTGTACTTAGGTGGGCAGATGCAGGTAAAGTCATTAACTCCATCAACACAGGTTCCTCCATTCTTACACCTCGATCCTTTGCAGTCATCTATGTTTTCTGAACATGTAGGTCCTGCGTATCCTGGGTGACATAAGCAGTCAAACCCATTAAGCTTGTCCTTGCACTTGCCATGAAGGCAAGGTCCCGAGATACACTCGTCTATTTCCTTCTCACAAATGTTCCCTTCCCAGCCAGATGGGCACTTACAACCAAATTTATTGAAGAGATCCACACATGTGCCACCACGCCTACAGGGATGAGAGCGGCAGACTGGTGCCCCAAAGCATCCCAAGTGTACATGCTCATCTGGTCTTCGCCAAAACCGTGTTGTTTGGGGTGATTTGGTATTGTCCACAAATGGAAGGTAAACTCCACCCACTCTGACAGCACCTAGACATCCTGTGAAGGTCTCGGCCAGTGCAACCTCGCTTGATATGTCTTTAAGAAAATTTAAACTACCTGCAAGCACTGGGGCACTGCTACCATCGATGATGCCATCCACCAAAACGAACCACTGTGACGCATCATGCTCTGGGTGGGCCATCGCAAACAGCAGTCGATGCCAGTTTCCATCTGCTATGCGTCTCTGTCCAGAGAACTTCACTGGTTCTACACTGTTCGCTGTGTGAATCTCCACATGAATGGATGAATCCAACAGACCAATCAGTAGAAGCTCCTCCCCACGCCATGCACGAAGTAGTACACCATTTTCCTGTCTTGTACGGAGCTTCATGGTAACATTGGTCACTGGGTCAAGTAGAGATCCCTTAGCACTGTAGTGTAAAGGGGTATTGTCAAAGGTTGCGTTCGCTATACCTGGTAAGACATAACAAAACATTTTGTTACAACTTATATCCACTTTTATAGACTTAAATTTACTATTAGTCTTTAGCAAGCAATCAAGAAATTGTCAAAAATCTGCTTCGTACATTCAAAACCATCCAACAGATCTACGCAGTGTCCACCATTTATGCATGGATCGCTGACACACCAAACTCTGGTTTCACATGTCTTTCCTGTGAAATCCTTTGGACAGGAACAAATAAAGTCATTCCATGTGACTGTGCATGCTCCTCCATTTAAGCAAGGCTCCATCTGCAAACCAACCACATGACATTAGCTTTTCGAAACTGCATCAGCAGGAACACATTTAGTGAAACAAAACCTACATGTAATCTATGTACCTTGCAAGTGTCATCACTCGTGCACCCAGGAAGGACATTTTCTGAATCACTGGCGATATAGATGCTCTCACTGAGTGTATTATTCCAGTCTTCCACATCCAGATGCACGTCGTCCAGTCTCAGGTCTTGCAGACAGCCCTTAAAATGACCACCCCAAACAGTTGCACCCTCTTCACCTGGAACTCCACCAATATACAACAAGTCTCCCTCCAGAACTTCCAAGTCGGGCAGTAAGCCAAGCCCGTAGCGATATCCTCCATGATTAAAGAAAACCTGACCATCCTGTATGTCCACCTGAAGCAGTGGCTTTTCTCCATTGGAGACAAACACTGGTGATGACAGAATGGGTGACTCCGCCATAGAGGTCACCTGTAATCGTCCCATTTCCAGGTATATGGTGAAATAAGGTTCATCTTCTGTCCCCTGAACCCCTGACCTACGTAGCTGAAATAATAATCCGCTTGATTTAAGGGATCGAAGGAAGAATGACACGCTAAAATTACTTCCAAAATCAGACAGCAGTTCAAATGCAAGAAAACTTGTGGAGTTCTCATGACCAAATGTCCAGGTAGGCATATCTGAGAAAACAAAAGAAGACAGGTGAGTTTATTAAGGGCCATGGCTAAACTTTGTAGGACAGTCAAACTCAAGGAGGGCTGGTGTCTTGAAGAGTTTGCCTCAAAACACAAGCCAGGATGTTTCTCGCAACCTTTGTAAGAGCTTGATTACTTGGCTCAGGTGTGTCTGATTGGGCTTGGAGCTAAACTATGCAAGACACTGGCACTCCAGGACCCCTTCTCTACTCTAACTGTTAAGTGTTAAATGTTTAATATGTTTATGCAAACCTTTGCTGCAGTCCTGTCCATAATGGGGTCTGTAACAGTCACAGCGGTAGCTCGTCCAGAGATCAACACAATGGCCTTGTTGAGAGCAGGGCTGTGGATCTTCCTGGCACCATTCTGTCTTTACACAGCCCAACTCAACGCTCTCCTCCTCATGACCCAGATCATGTGGCAGGACAGGATGACCATCCACCTGCAAATCCTCCATACAACCCAAAAAGCCTTGGCCGCTCAAGGTAAGCCCAATATACTCCTCTGGTACTCCTCCCACATACACTTTGGTGAGGCTGTCATGGTGCAAGAAAGTTTCATGACCATCTTGTAGCTTGTCTTCAACTCTGCATGCTTGATTATTACAGTTTGCACCTTTGACTTGAAGGACAAGCCTGATATCATGTTCATTAATGTTCACAATTGCCTCATGCCAGTCTCCGTCACTTACAAGTCCTGGTAATTGTGCCTCCAGTGATCCTTCCTCCTTTGATGTTGCCCTGGCACGCAGCTCACCCCCAACAATCTCCAAGGATAGGAAGAACTCCGCATTACCACGAAAAAACAGCAACATATCAGGCAGTGTGGTGCGGAATCGCAAGCGGACCCCTAGGGGGTGTTCAGGTTCTGTCTCTCTCCTTCTGCGTTCAAGTGATGGAAGCTCAATAAGAAAGAACCTCGGTGAGGAAAAGGAGAATGTGGTTTGTATAGAGCATACGTCATCATAGAAACCAGGTGGACAAAGACAGGTATGTCCATGTGTCTCTCCATCCAACCATGGCAAGCAGGTGGCACCATTTTGGCATTCATGTCCAATGCAACCAAGCAGCTGCACCGTGCACTGGGGTCCGCCCCATGGCAACAGACCTTCCTCAGCTTCTGCACAGTGACACTTGTATTCAGCCACTCCATCTTCGCATACACCTCCATTAAGGCAGGGGGCACTCTCACACTCATCTATATTCACCTCACATTCCACACCTGAGTAAGACAGACCCAAGTTAGCAATATGAACAGATACAAATGTAAAAGCTTTCTTATTTGTAAAAACTAACCTGTGAATCCCTCTGGGCATTCACACATGTATCCGTTAACCAAATCCTTACAGCTTCCACCATTGTGACATGGCTCGGACACACATTCATTTATGTTCACTGAACAATTCTCTCCTATAAAGAAATGTCAAACATTCAGATGAACTACAGCATGACTAAATTATTTTGAAAGTAAAACATTGCAAGTTAACTAGACTATCTATTCAGTTACATATAAATGTTCACTACATATGTGTAGTGACGTTGCCAGTACCTGTGTATCCTGGTTGGCACTGACATACATAGCCCACAGCTGTGGCATAAGTGAACTCCCAGTCTGTTTCCCAGTGTTCCGGATTTGACTTTTCAAAACATTCACCATCGTTCTCACATGGAGCATCAGCACATTCATCTATATCCACCTCACAGTTACCACCTTCAAAACCTATGCACACAAATATTTTAGATTATATCAAAGTTACAAAGGCTTGAGTACCATGATTAGATAAATGAGACTTACCTGGCCAACAGGAACAGTTGTAGTGGTTAATGCCCTCCAGACAAGTTCCTCCATGTTGGCAAGGATGTGATGCACATTCTGGAATATCCTCTTCACAGTGGTCTCCCATATATCCAGTGCCTTCACATTCACACTCATAACTGTATACAAATAAAAAAGTCAGTGTATTGTAACTATCAATATAAACTTAGAATGTTGACTAACATGTTAAATTTATTTTACAGACAGTAAATGAAAACACTATGGGCAGTGTATAGGCATGCTATTGTGCATGACTCTGTCGAGTTCTTTTACCTATCAATGCGGTCGTGGCAAAGTCCTCCATTCTGGCAAGGACCACTTTCACATTCATCAATATTAATTTCACAGTCCGAGCCTTCAAATCCCTGCACACAGTCACAGGTGTACAGTCCCACTAGGTCATGACAGGTGGCTCCGTTTTGACAGGGATTTGACTCGCATTCATCGATTTCCAACTCACAGTTTACACCTACAGAGATCACAGAACACATCTCATGACCAACAGTTCATGCATGTTAAAGCACAGGAGGCAACTTGGCAACCTCCAGTGATTGATTACTGTCAGTTGTGAACAGCTATAGTAGGCCAGGTGTGTCGTATGTTACTTCTAGAAGGGAGAGTCTCAGTCAGCTGACGAGGTTGTGCACATCAATTTGGGCACAACCACTTCATGAGTGTGTATCCGAGCCTTAACAAATTCATGGTAAAGAAAGTGATGTCGTTTGTTCACTATACATTTTGATACTGTCACTATGTTTGGTGATTTGAATTATGTGACTCATAATTTGACTTCAGAAATACGTTAAGGGAACATGAAAATAGCTCATTGATCGGTGCCCAGACTACTAAACAAGGGAGCGGATTGAGATGAACTCGGAGTCATGCAGAGTTGAGTTAAAGCAACAATTAAACACACCTGAACCAGCCAATCAGGGCCTTTCTTTAGCTTGAAGCTTCCAGGTCAGGTGTTGGACCTAAACTCTGCAGGACCTTGGTCTGTCAGGAGCAGGATTAGTCATTCTCACTTTAAACCAGGGGTGTCCACACTAAGTTCTGGAGGGCTGGTGTCCTGCATATTTTAGTTCCAACCCCAATTAAACACACCAGAATCAGCTAATCAAGCTCTTTTTAGGTATACTAGAAACTTCCAGGGAGGTGTATTGAAGGAAGTTGGAGCTAAACTATTCAGGACACAGGCCCTCCAGAACCAAGTATGGAAACCTCTGCTTTAAACTATTGAATGTATAGATGTGAGATGTGAGATGTTTTGCACTTCAATTACCTGTATATCCCAGTAGGCAATCACACAGATATCTGTCTTTCCCATTAATACAGGTCCCATTGTTCCAACAAGGTCGGGATGCACACTCATTGATGTCAATCTCACAGTTGTGTCCTTGGTATCCAGGTACACAAAAGCACTGATACTTGTTGACCCCATCCAAACAGATTGCACCATTCTGACAGGGATGTGAATCACACTCATCTAGGTCTTCTTCACAGGTCTCGCCTCGAAATCCATCAGAACAGGCACATTCAAATCCATCCACTATCCGTCTACAGGTGCCATTGTTGAGGCAGGGTTCATCAATGCAGTCTGTGATTCGGTGACTGCAGTCTTCTCCCCCGAAACCAGGTGGGCACAGGCATTTGTAGCCATTCTGCTCATTTACACACTCAGAGTGGGGACCAACACATGGGCCACTTTTGCACTCGTCTTTGTCCTCTGGACAGGTGTAGTGGTCTGTGCCAAGTTCACTCTCACACCCTTCACATTCAGCAAACATACAAGCATTGTACAGCTCCTCACAGTCCCTCCCCATGTACCGCACTCCTTCCCGCGAACACAAGCACACATAGTCGTCCATTGTATCCACGCATGTTGCCCCATTCTGACATGGAGAAGATGCACACAAATCAGATGATCCGGAACAGAATATTCCTGTAGAATGAGAGACCAGATTTAATATTTTACCTTATTAAAGTTTTACCATTGATCATACTTGGGCTTAGGAATTGAATTAGCCCTTAACCCCAGGGTGTCTCTCCTTGTTCCTGGAGGGCCACTATCCTGCAGAGTTTAGCTCCTACCCTAATTAAACTGAGACAGCTTATCAAGGTCATGGGACTCACTCAGAACTTCAGGTGTTGAAGCTGGTTGAAGCTAAATTTAGCAGGACAGTGGCCAAACCTTGGATATTAAGTCAAAGCCTATATCTGCAGAATTTAGTTGCAATAATTATTAAATGCCCCTGAAGACCTTAATGATGTGATTTAGGTCTGTTTGTTCAGTTTTTGGGTGGAACTTACTTTGCCTGTAGATAGACTGGACACCTCTTTTCAGTACAACTTGTCCAATAATCATGAATGATACGGTGCCTCAAAGTGCATATCTGGAGTAATATCAAGTAAGCAACCATCTAGCAACCACAAAGCTTAAAGATTATATTGTAATATACATCAATAAACCTAACTTTTGTCAGCAGAATGGAAAACAGGCACAAACCATCCAAAACAAGGGCTAAACGGACATCAGTCCCATACTCTTAATCCTGGGTAAGACAAAATATGCAAAATATGCAACTTACAATACACAAGTTGTCACAACTTTTAAATTAATTATTATTATTATCATAATTATATATATATATATATATATATATATATATATATATATATATATATATATATATATAATTAGAAATAAATATAATTATTATAAATATATAAAAAAATGTTTTATATATATATATAATTATAAATATATAAAGAAAATTATATATATATATAATTATTATAAATATATAAATAAAATGTATTATATATATATAAATATTAAATATATAAATATTAGAAATATAAAAATGTTATATATATATATATAATAAATAAAATTATATATATATATATATATATATATATATATATATAATAAATATATAAATAAAATTATATATATATATATATATATATATATATATTATAAATATATATATATTATAAATATATAAATAAAATTAATATATATATATATATATATATATATATATATATATATATATATATATATATATATATATATATAATTTGAAATATATCCTCTAAGTTGTGACGTTTTGTCTTTAGTAAGTTGCATATCTTGTTTGTGCATATGAGTGTGTGTTTTTAAGAGCAGAATGTGGAGCAGAGCATTCATGGGGATTTTCTCGTACGAATCGGCCAATCGCATGAGAGCTCTTTGAGTCATTCCAAATTCCTGTTATCTGCATGACCTCGACCCTCAACCCCCACCGCGTGTCCAACTCCGATCCATTAGTGTGGCCCACCCATTCTTAACCCTTGTGGGGCCCCTCGTCCCCCTAAACTCTTCTCCCCCTCCTTCCCAAAAACCACTTTGCTGCTCCAACTCCCTCAATGTCGCTTTGATCAGACCTTCATCCCAAATATTCGTTCAAGCGGAACATATTAATGAATGGGCAAAAGGAATGAGGTGTTTGTGTGTCTGTCCATGTGTGCGCTTGTTTGGCATTGTGGGTGTAGCAAGGCGGCGTAGCAAAAATGGAGAAGCATTTTGTGCAAATAAAGTGAAGAGGGTGTATAATGCTCTGAAAAGTGCATGTCAGCTGTTAAACAATAATAAAAATAATATATTTAATCATGATGTTAGTTTTAAAAGTGCATTTTTTCCATTGATTATATTATTTCACCCTTGTTCCAAAATAAAATATAAAAACACATAAATAATGCTTATTATTATTTCAACTGGTAGCATGGACCTACAGTGCATCCGGAAAGTATTCATAGCGCTTCACTTTGCCACATTCTTTTATGTTACAGCCTTATGGGGTATATGCCGAAGCATGCTAATAGGACTTTTAATTTGCTATTAAACTGGGTTAAGCGCTTCCGGCGAATTAAATGGCAATGCAAAATCCAGTGCATTTAAGGTCTGTTTTCTTTAAAAATCAGCGATCTCCACTAGCTGAGTAATATCCGATTTAAAGTGGGTCTCAGATTGTACAAGAAGCACTGCATTAAATTACATTTCCCCCACCATATCTTTATTATATGAGCATTTATTTTACCCCAGTATATTCAATGGAGCTTCTGCGTTAGCCTGCCGATTCTGACGAGCGCGTGTGAGTAAACAGCTTTTTGTCTCGTTTTACGCTTGAGTAACTAAATAAATGCTAAAGTTTATTTAACTGAATGTATTTTAATAACATTACAACATCGATGCTGTATAAGGAACCGTATAAAATGAGAAAAAGTTCACAATAACAGGTCACCGGAAGTGTATCAGCATGGGAACAGCACTAGCTCGGCATGTACCCTATTGCAAAATGGACTAAATGCATTTATTTTCTCAAAATTCTACACACAATACTCTATCATGACAATGTGAAAAAAGAGTTTTTGAAATTGTTGCAAATTTATTTAAAATATAAAATCTGAAAAATCACATGTACAGAAGTATTCACAGCCTTTGCTCAATACTTTGTTGATGCACCTTTGGCAGCAATTACAGCCTAAAGTCTTTTTGAATATGATGCCACAAGCGTGGCACACCTGTCTTTGGGAATGTTTGCCCATTCCTCTTTGTAGTACCTCTCAAGCTCTATCAGGTTGGATGGAAAGCGACAGTGTACAGCCATTTTCAGATCTCTCCAGAGATGTTCAATAGGATTCAATAGGGCTCTGGCTGGACCACTCAAAGACATTCACCGAGTTGTTGTGAAGCCACTTCATTGATATTTTGGCAGTGTGCTTTGGGTCATTGTCCTGTTGGAAGATGAACCGTCGCCCCAGTCTGATGTCAAGAACACTCTGAAGCAGGTTTTGATTTAGGATGTCTCTGTACATTGCTGCATTCATCTTTCCCTCTATCCTGACTAGTTTTCCAGTTCCTGCTGCTGGAAAAACGTCCCCACAACATGATGCTGCCACCACCCTGCTTCACTGTAGGGATGGTGTTAGCCTGGTTATGAGCAGTGCCTGGTTTTCTCCAAACCTAACGCCTGGCATTCACTACAAAGTGTTCAATTTTAGTCTCATCAGACCAGAGTATTTTGTTTCTTATGGTCTGAGAGTTCTTCAGATGCCTTTTGGCAAATTCAAGGCGGGGAGTAGCTTTCGTCTGGCCACTCTACCATGCAGGCCTGATTGGTGGATTGCTCCACAGATGGTTGTCCTTCTCTAAGGTTCTCCTCTCTCCACAGAAGAATGCTTGACCTTAGACAGAGTGACCATCAGGTTATTGATCACCTCCCTGACTACGGCCCTTTCCCCCCGATCACCCAGCTTAGATGGCCGGCCAGCTCTAAGAAGAGTCCTGGTGGTTCCAAACGTCTTCCAGTAGCAGAAATTTTTCTGTAATATTCCCCAGCCTTGTGCCTTGAGACAATCCTATCTCGGAGGTCTACAGACATCTCCTTTGTTTCCATGCATAGTTTGTGCTTTGACATGCACTGTCAACCCTGGCACCTTATTTGGACAGGTGTCTGCCTTTTTAAATCATGTCCAATCAACTGAATTGACAAGAGGAGAACTCTAGTTAAGCTGCTGAGACATCTCAAGAATGATCAGTGGAAACAGAATGTACCTGAGCTCAATTTAGAGCTTCACTGAAAATTTATTTTTAATAAATTTGCAACAATTTCAAAAACTCTTTTTTTTCACTTTGTCATTATGGGCTTTTGTGTGTAGAATTTTGAGGAGATAAATGAATTTAATCTATTATATAAAAGCTGTAACTGAAACAAATGTGGAAAAAGTGAAGCGCTATCAATACTTTTCGGATGCACTGTAACTTGTAGACACTAATATTAGTGGCCATAGAAAAAAAAACTTTAAAAAGACATTTTTGATCATTTTGAGGTGAGTAACATTGCTGATGAATGGAGTAGCTAACATATGATTGTTTTATTTTGCTTGTAGTTATTTTACCTGAAAGTTCCAATTTAATATTTGCATTTATTGCAATATCCATATTCTCTCTCTCTCTTTTTTTTTTTTTTTAGATTTGTTGCTAAACCACAAAATAACTTGGTATTTTTTTTTACACTAGTAAAGCACATTTTTTTTTTACATTACTGTACAAATGTACAAAAGTAATTTACTATATCTGATGGGGATAGCTGCAGAATAATTAGCTTTTGATTATACCATCAAAACATATATGCTAAAAGTTCTTAAAAAAATAAACGTCAATAACATTTAATTGGTTTTCACTTGTTTTCACATTCCTCTATGAAGGATATGAAATTATCACAATTACGCAGTATGCTCAGAATATAATCTACAACATCTCTAAATAAACAGCAATAACATAACCTAGACCAGACACATTTGGTGACTGTTTTATCAATTTTGCAAAAATCAGTATCAAATTAAACTGAAATATTCTTAATTTTACATTCATCATGATGTTTGTTCCTGAATCTACCTCTTTCCAACTTTAAATGATTTTTTTCTTTTAATTACAGATTTGCAGCTTACAGACTTTTAAATCCGACGTGTTTGCCCAGACACTTTAATCAGCATGAAAGTGTTACTTAGTACAGAAACATCTTATCTGTCTCAAAACACACAGACTGTTCTTACACAACCCAGCTGAGAGCTTACACTGATCTGAGAACGGACATGTGGCTTACACAGTGATCTTAACACAAACAAAACAAACATTCACAGAAGTGGATGTTGTTAAAGGGATACCTGTTGATTTTAGGCCATCCAAGATGTAGGATGTATGTTTTCTTTTTGTTGCTTTTCACAATTTTATTGAATAAGATTTTTAAAAATAAGCTAGACTTTTTTCGTAGCTGAAATTGTGGTTTTTGGTAATGATTAAAATGTAGCTATCTAGCTTATCTGTACATTGAGAGTAAAAAACAAAACATGTAGACGAAACAAAACTAATTCCCGTTGCTCCTAATGATACAT